AGGCAAGACGATACCAAGTAATGGTAGACTGCTTCAAACTTAGAAAGATAAGGGTAAAATTCATGGTAACCACAAAGAAAGTTAACATACTCATAAAAATAAAGAGGAAAAACATAAAGTCTCAGCAAAAACAAAAGAAATGAAAAAAAAATCCAAACAAAAATCAACCACTGGAAATATATTCCAAATACTTTTTCTTTCAGATATCCTTTATTCTTACAACAAGAATAGTATTCGGCCCTTTTCTTCTATATTTCATTTAACATTTTTCTTATTACACAACTGGTGAAAAGAAGAATATAACTAATTTCATTCTACTCATAGTCAAATGGTGGTTTCATCTGACCCAAGTCCTAACCTTTTATTAATAGATACAAAGATAGGCTTCTTCTTTTTTAATTGGTAAATAGATCTCCAAACTCATATTTTTCACCTGGAAATCACTATGTATGAAATTATCTTACTAAGCGTGGTGTGAGTTCCTGTCTCCAAAATCAAGCTCCAGATCAGCTGTTCATAAAGAAGTCTGCTACTTGTAGGTCTTGTCTTGCCCAGCTCCAGAAAACAACAGGATCCCAGCCTGAAGTGATACTGAGAAGCGTCTTCCCACAAGAAGTGGGCTTTAGAATTGTTTTTCACAGACAATACTGTTATGGATTGAATTGTGTGCCCCAAAAGATGTACTGAAGTCCTAACCAGTGTACCTGTAAATGTGACTTTGTTTGGAAGTAGGGATTTTCTTTTGCTATGTTAATGAGACCATATCACAGTTGGGTGGGCCCTAAACCTAATCACTTCTTAAATGATGTCTTATAAAAAGAGCAGACCAGACACAGAGACACACATACAGGGGGAAGAGAGATGCCATGTGAGGATCGTCTACAAGCAAAGCAACACTGAAGGTTGCTGGCAGTCTCCAGAAACTATGAGAGAGGCCCACAGAAGGAATTGACAAGTTCAAGACCCTGATTTGGACTTTTAGCCTCCAGAATTGTGAGACAATAAATTTTTGTTCTTTAAAGGCACCCACTTGTGCTATTTCTGTATGGCAGCACTAGTAAACCAAGACAAAGACTTTTCTTTTATTAAAAACAGTTTCTCTTAACTTCAATTTTTGCATTCCCAGTTAAAATATTTGTTGTTGAAATGTTATTTTACTCATTAGGATTTTGACCTTTTAAAATTCTCTTTTTATAGATATTTGAATTGTGAAACTTTGGTCCTACAACAAACCAATTTTAGTACTAAATGTCTGATTGCAGAACCCATCACCTTCAGTGTTTTATTACTTTTTCTTTTTTTTTAAACCAGAAGAGCAGTTCTTTCTTGGCATTTGGCTGAATGTGCAGCTGCTCCGAAAGGAGCTCTGGATCTGCCCACACGTTCTGAATTCACATGTAATCTTCTAATCAGCATCTTAAGACACTTCCTACTCTTCTTTAATTTTTCCCTCATTTTATATGATGAGCGTGGCTCTCTTGATAGCAGCATGCAGGCTATAATCTCAAAACATATTTTTGAGTCAACGGAGTTAAAGCATAATTTGACTTTATAGCTGGTGAACGTGGCTCAATTAACTTCACCAGGTGTATAGCTGATCATGGGCTATATTTATAATCTTGTTGAAATTCAAGTAAGGAAACAGAAAACTGATTTGCTACCTCCTATATTCTAGCGAACAGTCTCACTGGATTAGTATCTACCAAATGAAGTAAACTTTTGGAATAGTACCAATAAGTACCCACATATAGTTCAAACTCTGCAGTTTGGTAGGGTGGCTGGGTGCTCTTCAGTTGCTTACTTGAAATTATAACTTTAGTTAGAATGTTTGCTCTGCAGCCAGGTAACCTCTCAGCTTTTCTCAACAAGGGTTCTGTTAGAGAATTAAGCCCTAATGCCCACTGTATGTAATAAATTAATTTCTCTCCAGTGTATCTAGAATAGTATAAGTTTCATACCATCCTTGAAAGAATTGAGAAAACAGTCACTTGAATAATTTTGTGGATTCTGTGGGTCAAATGAGAAACCCCAGATGTGAAAGGCTGAATGGTGGTACTGGTGTAGTTACAGGTTTATTTCCCACGTGAGTCAATAAGGAGGAGGAGGGCTATTGTAGCCTGAGTCCATGACATGGCAGGAACAGGATCAGCTGTGATACATATGCTACCTAATGTATACTAATAATTATTTCTCCAAGTTAGAGATGAGAAAAATGAAGCCAAGCAAGTTGAGTAACTTGTGATGGAACCGGGATTTGAACCCAGTTCTTCCTCTGGAGTCGAGTTCTACCTCGTACTACCATGCTACACTGCTACCAGTTGCATTCTTGGCCTTACTGCTTCAAAAAATGTTCCGTGCATTAACGAATTTTAAGCAGGAGAATTAAGCAATAGGATTTATTTGCATTTTACAAACATCATTCTGAGGTGATATGGAGAATGGCTTAGCAGTGAGACATACTAGCAGCTTTCTACCATGAGACGAGACCAGCTAATGAAGCTATTGCAATGGTCTTGAATGAAGGAAGAACCAGTCAGGATGGAGAGAAAAGAATGACACAAGAAGTGTTTAGGCAATGATTGCCTGGGTTTGATATGGCCAACGGGGTGGGGAGGAGGGAAAAAGAAAATTAAAAATGACATCAAATTGGCAGTCACTTTTCGAATAACTCAGAAATGTACACCCTGCTGATGGTACTTCTGTGATGTTATCTTCATATACGAACGGCAGCATACTATTTGTTTTTTTAAATCAAAAACTCTATTTTTAGGAAAAAGTTGGAGAAGAAAGTAATGTAAGAGTTTTATCTAGCAGGTTATATTTAAGAACTAGACAAGTTTACAAAAATGTGAGTTGACAGCCACAATCCTTCCTACTGAACAACTATGGCAATTCTAGATCTAATCCATGACAAGTTGTGGGTACTGAACTAGCCAGAGGTGTAAAACTAAATTTAATCAGGCTGTTCCCTTCAAAAGGGACCTGGCTCTGTTGGAGAGTCTAGGTAACCTCTGATGGATCACACCCAGGGTTGTGTGCACCTCTGTCCTGGATGCCTTCAAGTTGACTCTCTTACCTGAATGATTACAATTCTCTCCTCAATGCTGACTGCTGACAGTCATGTGGCCCACCATCCTCCACAGAACCTCCGCTTATGCTCCACTTGGTGCCTATTACAGCCTAGCCTACTCACACCTATTACTTTGATCATCTTCTTATTGTTCATAAGGCTAGACATAGATAAGCAGTCGGGAATATAAACTGTAGATGGTGTGTATTAATATTTCCAAAGATGACCTAAGAATATAAGGATACCCATTGCCGTCAAGTCGATTCTGACTCATAGTGACCCTATAGACAGAGGACAACTGCCCTATAAGGTTTCCAAGGAGTGGCTGGTGGATTCGAACTGCTGACCTTTTGGTTAGCAGCCGAGCTCCTACCCACTGAGCCACTAGGGCTCCAAGAAGAATATAAGAATAACATGGAAATATCCAATCAATATACCTTTCAATTCTCTTCTTATTCTCCTCCATTTTTTGATTTGCTATATTTAAGAGGAAGTCAATATATTCCTCTGTCACCATCAGTTTTCCGTTGTGGCTTAATGGAACTTCTAAGCTATGTGTACTCCGGACAGCCTACAAAGGAAAAACAATTTAGATATGAAGACTTATATACTAGAGACACCAGAAATAACTAAAGAAAGTCCCAGTCAGGACTGTGCTTGAACATAGTTTAGTTCCATTACAGCATTTAAGTTTGTGCTTTGATATAATTTAGCTGAACACAGTTGAATCAAAGGAGATTAAACAGACTTTCCCATCATATAGTCATTTCTAAAGAAAGGCACTCTATACATTGCTTGTCAGAGGAGCAGATAAAATCAAAGAACCCAATAACAGTTTCAATCTTAGTGCAGCTTAGAAAGCTTTAATACACAATTTAAAGAAAAGAAATAAATGAAACCTCAACAGAAGCCTCAATGGAAAATCGAAATGCACTGGATGCCAAAGAGTCTCTCAGTGCTACAAATAAGTGTTACAAGTGTTACAACAATAAACCATGCCTCCTCTATCACACAAAGTGGCTGCTTTCTTGATGCTTTAGGGTTGTCAAACTTTGCAACCCTGTTGATCTAACAGTGAATATGTTCCAAGGAGATCCAAATACTGGATAAAGGTTAAGAACAACAACTACAAACACTATTACAAGGGAAAAAAAGTCATTCAGTGAAACTTTACTGAGCATCTTCAATGTTCTAGGCCCCATGTAAGGTACAAGGATATGGAATGAATATAGCATGTTCTCTACACTTAAGAGCTCACACTTTAGAACAGGAAATAAACAGGTAAACAAAGAATTACAATACAACATAGGTGTTATGACAGAGGAAAGGCACGTATACACGTGCGCACGTGCACGCACACACACACACAATGCTAAGGAAGCAAGAAGGGGAGCAACTGAGTCTGAGGACTTGGCTTTATGGGAAAAGCAGCATTTGAGTTGGAATTTTAAAGGGTAAGTGTTAAATTCACCAGATGTAAAGGAGGGAGAGGGTGAGAAGAGCATTCTACTCAGAGGAACAACAGATCTGTAGGTATGCAGACACAAAAGGGCATGACACGTTTGGGAAACAACTAACAGTTCTATATGACTGGAGCATGAGCTGCACCAGGAAGACTAACAGGAGATGAGCATAAACAGGTAAGGTCTTGAATATCAGGGAAAATATTTGAAGACCCTGATTTGTCAAAAGTGGAATTCTGAGAGTAAGGGTGGAAGAGAAGACCAAGAGCAGAAAGATGAGTCAGGTGGCAATTATACAGATTCAGGTGAGGGAACATGAGGGCTGAAGTAAGGGCAGTGATAGCATGGAGAAGTCATGTCAGGTGTGGGAAATGAGAGGTAGGAACGACATGACCTGTAAAGGAACATGGAAGATGAAAAAGAGGAAGGTGAAAGAATGGCTCTGTTCTTGCTTGGGCCACCAGATATAATGGTGGTGCTACTGAGTGAGATGGGGACACAATTCAGTACCATGGGCCTTGGTTTACTATGCAGTCCTGTTTTACAGGTGTCTTCTTTTGTAAGCCACCTAACATTCCATTTGTTAAAAATAGTTAGAAGATAGGAGAATCCAGGCAGCTAGAATACAGGGCAATCTGAAGTAGTTTAAAAAACAAGCAATACAGGTCACGCCAAATAGTCGAACAGTAAATACCACAAGGGATCAGAATAGGGCAAAATCACTACAGGTTGGCCTGGCCAAGGAAGGACTCAGGAAAGATGTCAGACTCAAAAGGGATCTTATAGATCATCTAGTCTAGATGTTGGCAAACTTTTTCTGTAAAAGGACAGATAGGAAATATCTCCGTGTGTGCCACACTGTATCTGTTGCAACTACTTAACTCTGCCAATGTAACACAAAAGCAACCTCAGACACTCCTTAAACAAATGAGTAAACTGAATTTGGTCCCCCTATAAACTGGATTTGGTCTTAGGAGAAATGGTTTGCTGATATCACTAAGGAAATTCAGACCCTGAGGGATTAAGGAACTTGCCCAGGTTCATATCGCAGACCTGTGATCCAGCGTCAGAGCAGAGGTCTTTCGGCTCCATCTTTCCACTACATCATGATGCTTGGATTGGGTTGTGACTACTCAGGAGGAGGAGGATACAGTAGAGTGAGGCAGACGCCCTCAAGGGCTAGCATTTAGGACCAATCAGGTTAAGAGTGGAGGGGAGTACTATAAAACAAGTCCTCAAAGGTAAATCTACCAACTCTGGACCTTGCCTCATAGGAAAGAGTAAGTTACTGAAGGTTTTGAGCAAGGGAATGGCAAGAAGATTTGAGTACTGAGTCAGAGGAGACTAAAGGCACGAGTCTGATGAGAAGTCTAATTAGAAGGTTATTCTAATTCAGATCACTTCACACCCAAAGAATTGCTTTTTGCCAAATGGTCCCTTACCATCATAGTCTTTCCTTTCTTTCCCACTGTTATGCCAGAGTTCCTGAAACCAGAAGCTACGGCTGCTGAATGCTGTAAGAAAAGAAAACTTGTTCACTTCTGATAACCTGGCTAATTAGATACTCTGTTTAGCTCCACAAACTGCAGAAACATACAGAACTTCAAATCTTATTAAGGGTGTTTTCTGCTAACCAATAAACTGTGCTTAAAAGTGACTTTGCTCTTATTTTTATTAGAAATATTGACCCTTTGAAAGTGTCACTTAGAAACAGTAAAACTAGAATTCAGTAAAACACAGGAACGTCTGCCTAATAATTTTCTGTAAGGCAGAAAATTAACACATAATAATCATTCCTGAAACAGTATTGTATAAAGGTAAACAAAAAACAAACACACAAAAAATTTTCCCTTAAAGTGAGTGAAATTTTATTTTTCCTCCTGTAGAAGTGAAACCTTACTCATAGTAGGCTTGAGTTTTGGGTTGGTAATAGTTAAGAGAAGGAGCCCTGGGGGTGCAATGGTTAAAAGCTTGGCTGCTAACAGAAAGGTTGGCAGTCTGAACCCACCCAGTGGCTCTGCGGGAGAAAGGTCTGGTGATCTGCTTCTGTAGAGATTACAGCCAAGAAAACCCTATGGGGCAATTCTACCCTGTCAAATGGGGTGCTATGAGTCAAAATCAACTCCATGACACTCAGTAACAATAATGGTTAAGGGCACATCTGTGGAGCCAGGCTGCTTTATTTGTATTCTTGCTCTGCTTCTTTAGCAGCTGTGGAACTTTGGGCAAGTTATTTAACCTCTATGCCTGGTTTCCTCATGAGTAACAGTATCAACTTAAAAGGGCATTGAGAGAATTAACTGGAATAATTCATGTAAAGCATTTATCTTGGTGTCTGGTAAATAAGACTCCATAAATATAAGCTATTATTATTATCATTATAAGAACTGGTGGGAGAGTTATGCTGCTTTATTTATTGAGGGCCCTGATGACAATCGATACATGAATAAATGAAATATAGCATGAATGTATAAGAGCCACTATAAGTAAGGACAGAGATTGTAGTGCCTTTCTCTAAAAAAATTTGTTGAAATAATAAGAAAAGTAGATAAAGAAAAAAAGTCTGAACTTATACGATGGCTTTGTAAATCATTTTGCTTTGTTGTTGTTGTTAGGTGCTGTCGAGTTGGTTCCAGCTCGTATCGACTGTGATAGTTGTGTGTCGGCTTGGCTGGGCCATGATTCTGTTTTGGCAGTCATGTCATGCTGTGGTCACTTCCCTGTTGAGATCTGATATTTGATCACCCCCATGATGGGATCTGCTGTTAGTAGTCAATCGGTTGAAGGGGAGTTTCTTTGGGTGTGTGGCCTGCATTGGATGTGGCTGGACATTCTCACAGGGCTCAGGGCTTTTGCTTGTTCTGGATCCGGCAGCTGGCTCCTGTTCATCTGACCTCCGGTTTTGGGGACTTGAGCTAGCAGCTTACCTGTGGTTTTGCCTGCCGATCTTGAGATTCGTCGATCTTGGCAGCCTCTGAGCAAGAGCCTTGCTCCCCCACCTGCTGATTGTGGGTTCGTCAGCCCCTGCGGCTACGTGAATCAGGAGAAGCCTCTATCCTGACCCCTGGACTTGGGACGTTACAGACTTTAAAACAGCGTGAGCCATTTCCTTGATATAAATCTCTATATGTATGTATTTATACACTTTACTAGTTTTGCTTCTCTAGAGAACCCAGCCTAAGACACCACCAACTCTATGTACAACAGAATGAACAACTGCCTGGTCATGCGCCACCCTCAGTCTTTGCCATGTTTGAGCTCATTGCTGCAGTCGCTGTGTCAATCCATCTCATTGAGAGTCTTCTTTTTTCGCTGACTCTCTGCTTTACCAAGCATAATGTCCTTTCCAAGGAACTAGTCCCTCCTAATAACATGTCCAAAATATGTGAGATGAAGTCTCGTATCCTTGCTTCTAAGGAGCATTCTGGCCATACTTCTTCCAAGACAGATTTGTTCGTTCTTCTGGCAGTCCATGATATATTCAATATTCTTCACCAACACCATAATTCAAAGCCGTCAATTCTTCTTTGATCTTCCTTATTCACTGTCTAGCTTTCGCATGCACATGAGGCAACTGAAAATACCATGGGTTCAGTCAGGCGCACCTTAGTCCTCAAAGTCACGTCTTTGTTTAACACTTTAAAGAAGTCGTTTTGCAGCAGATTTGCCCACTGTAATACGTCATTTGATTTCTTGAATGCTGCTTCCATGGGTGTTGACTGTGGATCCAAGTAAAATGAAATCCTTGACAACTTCAATGCTTTCTGCATTTATCATGATGTTGCTCATGGGTCCAGTTGTGAGGATTTTTGCTTTCTTTATGTTGAGGTGTAATCCATACTGAAGGCTGCAGACTTTGATCTTTATCAGTAAGTGCTTCAAGTCCTCTTCGCTTTCAGCAAGCAAGGTTGTTTTACTTTACTAACCTCTAAATGTCAGACCTAGGGCTCAAATGTGTATCTATTTCTTTTCTCTAGCTCACTGTTTCTCACCTAGGCTGATTTTGCCCTCCAGGGGACACTGGAAATGTCTGGTGACATTTTTGGTTGCCACAAGTGTGGTGGTGGTGAAGCAGAACTACTAGAATCTAGTAAGGTAGAGGCCAGGGATGCTGCTTAACATCTTACAATGCACAGGACAGCCCCTACCACAAAGACTTATTCAGCCTAAAATGTCAACAGTGCCTCAGTTGAGAAACCTTGCTCTAGCAACATGCTCTCCTTACAAGACTCTATCCAGTTCCCTGGTTTAATGCTGATGGCTCCCATTTCCAGTCCAGACCTCTACCCTGAAATTACCTTTCTTAAACCTATCTCTCTCACCATCTTTCTATTCTCAGTAAATGATACCCAACTGCTCAAACTCCACACTTAAACGTTAGCCTTGATTCTTTCTACTCCATCTCCCACATGCAATTCCTACAGATTCTACCTCCAAAATACACCTCAAATTCATCCACTTCTCTTCATATCCACTGGCCCTTGCCCCTCTCACTTGTACTTCTACAAGAGCATCCCAACTGGAGTTTCTGCTTTCCCTCTTGCTCCCCGCTCCAATCCATTCTTGATAGACCAGCCAGAGATACAATTCAAACTCTAAACCATGGCTTATAATGCTCTATTTAACCTGGCCTCTACCTTCTTCTCCAACCTCATCTGGCTTCCCTTCTGTTGATAATTCTAAACCCTTTCCTGCACCAACCTTTTTATGTTTGCAGTTCTCTCTGTCCAGACTACTATTCCCCTGTCTGTTTTCTTTTTATTCCTCTTGTTTCTGTTTAAATTCTATCTCCTCAAAGAGGCCTTCTCTAATCACCCCTTTAAAATGCTCCCCTTTCCCTTACTCTCTAGAAGAGTGTCCTGCTTAACTTCTTCATAGCACTTGTCATGTCAGAAATTTTGTGTGTTTACCTACTTACTGTTGGTCTCTCTCCTGTAGAATATAAAAGCTACTTAAAGGCAGACTCTTATCTTTTTCTACTTTTCCCTAGTACCTAGAAGACTGTCTGGCACACTGTCAAGAAAAAGCTGTGAATGGGTGAAATTTCCAGTCTCTTCAATTCCACTGCAATTTGCTCCCCCAAACATTAGATTTCCACCGAAGCTTTGGCCCAGAAGAAGAACAGGGCCAAGTCAATTCAGGATTAGCAAACAGAATAAGACATGGGCATAGAAACAGGTATATTTTGGAGGTAGAGTCCATAGGAATTGGATGTGGGGGATGGAGTAGAATCAAGGCTAACTTTTAAGTTTGGAGTTTGAGCAATTGGGTACCATTTACTGAGAATAGAAAGACTGGTGACAGAAATAGGTTTACGAAAGATAGAATCAGTTTCAGGGTAGAGGTCTGGACTGGAAATGGGAGCCATCAACATATATGCTGTATTTAAACCAGGGAACTGGATAGAATCTTAAAAGGAGAGCATGTTGCTAGAACAAAGTTTCTCAACCTGGAGCCCTCGTGGCACAGTGGTTAAGCGTTTGGCTGCTAACCAAAAGGTTGGTAGTACGAATCCACTAGTCGCTCCTTGGAACCCCTTTGGGGTAGTTCTACTCTGTCCTATAGGGTCGCTACGAGTCAGAATCAACTAGTCAGCAACAGGTTTGGATTTTTTGGTTTATGGAAACAGGAGAGGTTTGAGCAGCAACAATGATGTGATCTAGTATAACTAGAGGCTAAAATAAAGTTAGATCAAAGCTCAGGGGTGAAACAGGGGCTGGGGACATTAACCACTGAATTCTTAAACACTGTTTTGGAGTATATCTCTAAATGCTGGTGCTCCTCAGGCTCCCTACTCTTCCTTTGACACTCTCTCCACAGGAGATTTTATTTAGTATTCACGACTTTAAATACGACCTGCGTATTGATGTGTCCCCAATCTGTACCTTCAGTCCAGACTGCTCCTCTGAGTTCCAGACTTCCGCCCGACTGCCGACTTGTAATTTTCATTGAGATGTCTTATAGACATTTCATACTTAACATGGGACTCAAATTTTGATTTTCACTTCAACTTCCAGCCTTTTCCATTTCAGTAAAGGATACTACCCTATATCCAGGTGCTCAAGCCAGAACCTAAGGAATCATCTTCTATCCCTTTTTGCCCTCCTCTGTCTGTCCTTTCCCAGGCAACCTCATAGTGTCTGTTGATTCAAGCTCTAAAGTATGTTTTGAATCTACCATCTTCTCACCTTCTTCGGTGCTATCAGACCTCAGATCACTGCAACTGACTCCTAACTGATATCCCTCCACTTACTCCACTCCTTGGAGCAAGACTGAGTTTTTCAGGACACAGATCTGATCAATCCACCTCCCCACCCTACTAAATAACTATTCCTTCAATAACTTTTCCTTGCACTCAGAAAGTAAGCCACATTCCTTATCCTAGCCTAAAACTTGCTGTCGATCTCGACTCATGGAGACCCCATGTGTCAGAGTAGAACATGCACCAGAGGGTTTTCAGTGCCTGATTTTTTTGGAAGTAGATTGCCAGGCCTTTCTTCCGAGGCAACTCTGGTTGGACTTGAACCTCCCGTCTTCTGGCTAGCAGCTGAGTGTATTAACTGTTTGCAGCACCCGGGGACTCTCTAAATGACTTGGCCCCAGCCTCTCTCACCTCTTTTCTGCTCTCCCCTCCAGACTCACTATCTTTTCTGTTCTGTGGAGACACCATGCTCTTCCTTGCTTCAGAAACTTTATATATTATTTTCCGTTTGCCTGGCATGTTCATTTTCCCAGTTACATGCCTACTCTTTCTGTTCCTTTAAAGTCTCAGCTTAACGATACCTCCTCAGAGAAGCCTTTCCTAAAGTGGGCCTCCCTTTATGCTATTCTCTCTTAGGTTTTTTCCCCTTAGAACATTTTGTAGGTTGCAGTTATTTTATTTGCCTGTTCACTTGTTTATTTTTGTCTGTCTCCCCACTTTGAGGGAAGAATCAAGAGTGTCACTATCTTGTTGATCACTGTACCCCAGTCCCTGCCAATAGGATCCAATAGGTTTTTACTGATGGAATACTCATGATGCAATTTAATTTTATATATAAGCATACAAAAAGTATAAACATTAACAAGGAGAAAAAAATAGAGAACTAAGACTTCACAAATTTTATGTAAAACTCATTTAAGTGATGAGAAAAATGAAATAGTACTTAAAACATTTAATTTTACATGTAGCTCCATGGTATTTTTTCTAAGAACTCAGCAAGCAAAAGCAAAATGTACAGTGTTGAAATTCATAAATTGAAGGTTAAAGAAGAAAACAAGAACCACAATTGGATGTTATATTTTGCTAGTAATTATTAGGTACTCTTTTTTCCTAATTCTAAAATTAGATTGATAAGACAGATGAATAAATAATTAAAAAACCAGCTGAATAAACTAATGTCACATTAATTTTTTGAGAGGAGATTTAAAGCTTAAAATTAAATTTACCCACATCCTTATACATTCAAGTATAATTACAGAATTTTACCAGAAGCTGTGCATCCTTCAGTTGTCGACATTGCACATGAAGAATAAATGGTTCAAATTTCAAAATGGCATCACCATTCGCTTTCTTCAGAGCTACAATCTGAATAAATGAAAAGTCTTAACATCAAATAGAATTCTATGATCCTATTCTTTGGTGACCCTTTACAGCACATAACTTCAGTATTTTCTAGAAACATTCAGACTCACTTAGCATAATTTTTCTCCAGTAACTTTTCACTCTGCTCTCTTGGTCCTCTTTCTCCAAACCTTTTAAATCTGTTTTTCTTAAAAGAGCTGACTTCTGTTTCTCTCATAAATCTTCTGTGTCATTCTTTTCATATGTATCTGTATGCTGAAAAAGGAAACTACTACTCTATTTAATTCCATAATAAATTTTTTTAAAGGAATTCAAAAGAAAAAAAAAAAAAATCCATTGTCCTAGCGACCCTATAGGACATAGCAGAATTGCTCCATCGGGCTTCCAAGGAGCGGCTGGTGGATTTGAAGAAATAGGATATGTAAAAACCGTACTAGAAGGACTGTTCATTGATAGATTAAGATATATACACCTGTATTATTATGTCTGAGCTAGAATTTATATAGGACAGTTGTTATTTCTGTCTGTCTAGCATCTTGGAGCAGTATCCCCTGTCCTTTACACCATTTGATTCTGTCAGGACTGTCAATCCCCACCCTGTCACTCATCACTCTCCCACCATAATATCAGCGATGGCAAGTGACCTATGTCTGATTGATCATATCCCATTCCAAAAATAATTGATCTAAGGTAGAGAAAAACCTATTCCAAGCAGGACCCATCAAATACATGAATCCTAGGGAAAACACTTTTTTTCTACTGGGGTTGCTGGCAGCTATCTTTCTTGCCACAAAGAAAATCATCTGCAACAGAAGAGAGTAAGGGAAAACATGCAAAAGAACCAGTGGCCAAAGATGAAGCTGGAGTGAATCCTCTGAGAGAACATTCCAGTACCTGACCTAGTTAATGATTGACAGCAGCTCTACCCCTGTCCTTTCCAGTTAAACAAATGACCTTTTTTGCTTAAAACAGTTAAAATTTGATTTCTAAATTCACTGGGAATTTAAAGTGCCTGACTAAGGAAACTTACATAAACTCATCTAAACGTTTTAATTTAGGAAACTAAATAACCTAGCACAGATTAGAAGGTTTTCAAGAAGTAGTCCAGGTTAATGATGTGTGATTTATTTACATCAGTGATGCTAACAATGTATAGATAGTGCTAATCACTTTCCCCTGTCCACCCCGTCCCCTCCTTCTATAATTTGTCCCAGGTTAGAGTTATCAAATGGCAGAACTAAAATTCAAAATTAGGATCCAATAACCATGAACTTTCTGCTGTGCACAAAATGATGTGGTTTTTTGAGCAGTAGCAAGTAATGCTTCAATACATATATATACATACACATTTTTATCTCCTGTAATCCAAATGGAAACCCTGGTGGTGTAGTGGTTAAGAGCTACAACTGCTAACCAAAAGGTTTGCAGTTCAAATCCACCAGCTGCTGCTTGGAAACCCTGTGGGGAGTTCTACTCTGTCATAGGGTCCCTATGAGTCAGAAGCAACTTGACGGCAACTGGTTTGGTTTTTTTGGTTTTGATGATCCAAAAAAGACATTTTAATGAATGCTCTCTAGGCTTTATAATCTTAAACAGTTATAATTACGCACATAAGTCACTTTGAGTTTTCTAATTTTTTCATATGTATTTAAAAGTTTATTTCTAAACATATATATAAAAACTTACCACATCATCTTTTATACAAGGTTTGTGTGTGACCAGTAGCCAACAACAGTTTTGTTTCTGAACTTCAAAACCATTTACACCCTAAAATAACAAACAATATAATGTAATACAATAATATTTACAAAAATAATAAGCACAATGCATACTATATGGCAGGCATTCTTAAATTAACAATTCCAAGTGGTGATTTTAAGTATTACTGAGAACAATTCAATAGCTTTTTGGGTAAAATTAACCCAAAACAAAAATGAACTCAAATAACATGAGATAGAAAGAAAATAATTTGTTAAGGTATTTAATACGTTCTGAGATATAGTCATGACTTTGTCAGGAGAAAAGAGATTACAAGTGACTGTATACAAGCAGCCCCGAGTTGTACTACAGCTGTTTTATTTGGCTAGCATAGTATTAAAAAGAAAGAAAATTTTGAATTTTTTGTTGTATGACAGCACTGTCCCAATCCTACACCAGACTTACCACTTTTTACTGAAACTCGTGCTGTTCCTTGGTCTCACAAAGCATGAGTTTATGACTAATGGATTAGACCTGATATGTACTTTCAAAGGGCAGAGCTAGGACTGTAAGGTCAAAATTTCAAGGAGGCAAATGTTTTAGCATAGAATTTATCTATCAATTGGACAAATGTTTGTTCAGTTCTATTAGGTTCTTTGGAGTCCCTGAGCAGTGCAAACGGTTAACGTGCTCACTGTGAAAGGGTGGAGGTTCGCGTCCACCCACAGGCACGCTGGAAAAAAGGCCTGGCAATCTACTTCTGAAAAATCAGCCATTGAAAACTCTTTGGAGCATACACATGAGGTCACCATGAGTTGGAACTGATTCTCTGGCAACTGGTTATTAGGTACTCTGGGTATACAGATTCTACCCTCAAGGGCAATGGAAGAACCCACACGAACAGTTATCACTATACTTGTACAAAGTAACTATTTACACAATGGGTCCACAGATGTTATATCTGGCCTTGAAACCCAGAAGAGCTATGTTAGTCCTGGATAACTGGTTTCTTTTTATGGTATGACTTCTGTTACTTATATATCTGTCCTACAGCTCACTGCTCTAAATCTCAGAGCCAAACGTGTGACCACAACCAGCAAGTTTACAGGATCTAATGGCATGTTTTGGGAACTAATGACATTGCTGGCTTCATCTTATCTAAATTCTCTTTACCCAGATTTCCCCACTTTTTGTTTTTCTTCTTGTATTGCCTTTTTGTAAGCTGCTCCAAATCCTTCCTGATATAAGACAGAATAAAAAGAAGTAAGTATAATACAAGGTAAAAAAGCAGCAGCCATTATTTCCAGGTGGGTGAAAGGTTTCAGCATAGGGAAGTGACATGCACAGACTTGCGTTTAGGAAGGTGAATCTCTTAACAGTGTGTAACATGGTTTGGAGTAGAAAGAATGGTAGTCCTATGACTTGTTAGGAAACCAGAGTGAAAATCCACGTGAGATGGAAAGGACGGTGGAAACGGGAGGAGAGACAGCCTGAGTGCCAGTGCTCAGAAGGCAATTAAAAAAACCAAACCAAACCTGTTGCCGTCCAGTCGATTCCGACTAATAGTGACCCTATAGGATAGAGCAGAACTGCCCCACAGTGTTTCCAAGGAGCAGCTGGTGGATTCGAACTGATGACCTTTTGGTTAGCAGCTGAGCCACTGCACCACCAGGGCTCCCAGAAGGCAATGGAAGCAATATAAAAATGGTCAGGGCCTGCTAACCTGGGAGACGAGGAGTCTAAGTAATGAATCTATGAATGTGCTGTCTTCCATGCTCTAAACACTAAAATTAATTTGCTAAGAACTTTTATAGTGCACTCAACATGGCTAGGCACAACACTAAAAGTTTCAAAAGCATTGCCCTATTTCTTCCACAGAAAATCCCTATGGGGCAGATAGTTTTATTATGCTCAGCTATGGCCAATAATTTCAATACCTGGTGTGGAATTTAAGCAGTCTCTTTCCAAAGCCTGAGGGCTTGACCACTGTCTCTAAAACTTTACTTTATATTTGCTTTACATTTGCTTTTGAGTTGATCCAGACTCATGGCAATCCCATGTGTATGCTCCATAGGATAGTCTATGGCTGATTTTTCAGAAGTAGACGGCGCCTGTGGGTAGACTAGAATTTCCAACTTTTCTGTTAGCAGTGGAGCCCGTTAACCAGAGTGTTAACCATTTGTACCACCCAGGCTTCTTCTTCTTGTCTCTTTGTGTTGTTGTTAGTTGCCTTCTAACTCACGGTAACTCCATGAGTTGTTGCTTAACCAAACCCAAACTCCATTGTCATGGAGTTGATCCCGACTCACAGTGACCCTAAAACAGAGTAGAATTCACCACAGGGTTTCCAAGGAGTGGCTGGTGGATTCGAACTGTCAACCTTTTGGTTAGCCACCCAACTCTTAACCACTGCACCATGAGGGTCCTGTGCTGTTGCTCAGTGTAACAGAAAAACTACCAGAACTGTGATAGAGTAAGCCACTAGGGAAAAGTGAACTCTCAACCCTGTGAGACAGGCAGTCTCAGAGCTCAGCCTTTCTAGAAGACAACTGCTCTGGCTTATCCTCCTACACCAAGCAGAATAGGCTTCTGAAATCGTCCTTGACAAGATAACCACAGAATGGCCATAGCTGGCCTCAACTGGTTTTAGCAGGTTTTCAATGCCATCTTGGCACTTTAAGTGACCTATTAGTTCAATCAGTGCAAAATACATATAAGCACCCTGCCTCTGGGTGGAGAATTAACATGCTAATTAAGGAAAACTGACCTCTTCCTCTATGTCTAAAGTAGAACAGATAGTCATCCCCTTGCCTAAAGAAAACACATAGTCATCCCCTTGTCTAAAGAAACTGCACGGACATCCCCAATCTGTGGATGCCAGCACGAAGGTTGATCCTGAATATTCATAATAAATTTACATTTCCTTATCTGCTCTCTGCAAAAGCCGGCCTCCCAAGCTGCCTGCAATCTTGTAGGCAGCAATCACAACTATTCCTTTCCTTGCGCAATGAAATAAAGCCCACCTCGGTCTCTTGTTTATTGGCTGTGACAGTCTCGAGGAGCAAAACCTGGGGTTTCCACCTGGCAGCACCTGGCGGTGTTCAATCAGGTAATGACAATAATTTGGCAGAGCAACTGAAGAGAGGACTCCAGCATACCATCCCTCGCCAGGCTAGAAAGTCTTTAAATTCCTTTAGTGCTCAAAAAAGAAGCCCTTGTAATGCAATGGTTAAGCCCTGGGCTGTTAAACAAAAGGTCGGCGGTTGGAACCGTCACCAGTAGCTTCTCAGGAGATGTGGCAGTCGGCTTCCATAAAGATTACAACCTTGGAAACCCTATGGAGCAGTTCTACTGTGTCCTGTAGGGTAACTACGAGTCAGAATCGAAAGGACCACAATGCGTGTGTTTTTTTTTGGCGGGGGTGGTGGGGGGGTTAGTACTCAGAAAATCAAATTCTCCAATCCTTGCTACTCAAGATAGTCCTGAGGCAAGCAATTTCGCCATTACTTGATAATTGTTAGAATCTAGGGCCCCACCGTAGACATACAGAGTAATATCTATTTTAAAAGATCCTCAGGATTAGCCACGTTGAAGTTTTATAATCACAGGTCTAATTCACCCTCCACGTCTCACAGATAAACCAAGACCATCTGCCAGAGATAAACACAGGCTGGGTTGGGGCGTTACACTGGGTGGGCATCGGGCTCGAAATGTGACCGACTAGGGGGTAAGCACTAGAAGTGCACAAAGGGGCCTCACCCCGTCTAAGAGGAGGATGCGGCCAGCGCAGGAGCTGGTAGTGAAAAACTGATCTCGCGTGTTCAGCAGCTGCACAAGCTCTACCACGTCCTCGTCCACACTACCCTTCCGGCTGAGGTCCGCTTTGCCCAGAAACTGCGCCTTCGACCTCCTGAATTCTGCACTGCGATCCATGAGGTTCGGAGGGATTTACTCTGAACGTTCCCCGTTTACCTTAGCCGCTCCCCTCCTTGGGGGCCGCCATATTGAAACGAGCGGTGCCTGGAAGGTCCAAACTTCCTCGTCGTCGTCGTCTTCCAGGGGTGGGGAGAGGCGGGCCGGCGGGAGGAGCTTGCGAACGTTGCAGCCAGTTGGGCTCCAACCCTTTTTCTGTGGAATCTGAGGAGTCTTCGAAGATTTTAATTCCCCATTCTAGAGTCGGGTAAGTGGTCTAAAAAAGTCCCTTTTGTTGTCCAGACAGCCGATCCCCCCGTAGCTCGTCGAAATTGAACCGAGCTTGGTTTTGGATATGTTTTGTCCCTGCTCTCTGCCCTTCCCGAAAACTAGTAAATAAGGAGCCAGTGGCCGAAGCCCTGGCAACGTTGTTCCGTTTTTGCCATCCTGGGGCCACGAATTCCTCATTCGTAAATCACCTGGGGAGTTTAACCTGCTGGTTCTGGACTTTTTCTGTAGGATCTGCGTTTCGGCTATCGTTGAGGCGCCTGTTTGCACTTCCCCTCACCCAGCGATTTGATTTTCCCTGCGGCCTGTGCCCTGAGGTTAGGGATTCCTGCAGCTTTTCGCCTCCTGAGCCCCCTGCCCACAGTCTAGCTGTAGGAGCGGATTTCTTTGAGGTCTCTGCACTGCAGGTTTCCCGGAGCTTTTTCCGCCCTACCTTCCTCCAGCTTTGTGATCAGAGCTACAGTCTTAGTTTTGGAGAGAATTGTGTAGTTTTTTCTCTCTTTCTCAGTAGTATTTATTTATTTTTTAAATAATTTTTTTAAATTGTACTTTAGATGAAGGTTTACAGAACACATAGTTTCTGATTAAACAGTCAGTACACATGTTATTATATGACATTGGTTAACAACTCCACCGACATGTCAACACTCTCCCTTCTCGACCTTGGAGGACTTTTTTTTTTTTGGTGAAAATATACATAGCCAAAGTCACACCATTTCAAAAGTTTTTACATGTACAATTCAGTGACATGGATTACATTCTTCCAGTTGAGCTGCTATTCTCACTATCCTTTTCCACATTATTCCATCACCATTATCTTCAACTCACTGCCCCCTAGGCTTTCCATCAAACCTTTTGAGTTGCTGTTGTCAATTTGATCTCACATAGATAATTCTTTTTTTTTTTTTTGTAACTTAGATGAAGGTTTACAGAACAAATAGTTTCTCGTTAAACAGTACACATATTGCCGTATGACAATGGTTAACAGCCCCATGACATGTCAACACTGTCCCTTCTCAACATTGGGTTCCCTATCACCGGCTTTCCTGTCCCCTCCTGCCTTCTGGTCGTTGTCCCTGGACTGCTGTGCCTCATTAGTCCTGTTTTGTTTTATGAGGCTGTCCAATACCCGGCTGACCGGTGAACCTCAGGATGACTTCACCACTGAGCTAAATGGGTGTCCAGGGGCCATACTCTTGGGGTTTCTCCAGTCTGTCAGGCCAGTAAATCTGGTCTTTTTTTGTGAGTTAGAATTTTGTTCTACATCCTTCTCCAGCTCTGTCCAGGACCCTCTATTGTGATCCCGGTCAGAGCAGTCCGTGGTAGTAGCCTGGCACCATGTAGCTGTACTGGACTCAGTCTTGTGGAGGCCATGGTAGCTGTGGTCCATTAGTCCTTTGGACTGATCTTTCCCTTGTATCCTGTTCTCTTCAATCTCCCTTGCTCCCGAAGGGGTGAGACTGGTAGAGTATCTTAGATGGCTGCTCACAGGCTTTTAATACCCAAGACACTACTCACCAAGGTAGAATGTAGGACATTTTCTTTATAAACTGTGTTATGCCGATTGAGCCAGATGATCCCCAGGACCATGGCCCCCACAGCCCTCTGCCCAGCAGTTCAGTCCCTCAGGGAGTTTGGATGTGTCTATGGAGCTTCCATGACCTTTCCTTGTACAAGTTGGGGTGGCTTCCCCAGTATTGTGTACTGTCTTACCCTTCACCAAAGTTAAGAGAATTGTGTAGTTTTATTGACCTTTTCCTCCTGGGTTCCCTACCTCGAATAATCTTCAAAGGAAAAAAAAAAAATTACAAAACACCCAACACATTGTTGAATGTTTACATAGTTCCTCGAGAAAGCTCATCTCAGTGACCAGGGAAGGTGTATTAATGATTTAAGTCACCCAAAGGCTAAAGGAGTCCTGGTGGTGCAGTGGTTAAGTCTTCAGCCGAAAGTTGGCGGTGTGACTTGAACCCCCCAGCAGCTCTGCTGAGAAAAGACCTGGTGATCTGTTTTCTATGGGTCATTTCTACTTTGTCATATAGGGTCGCTGTGACTCAGAATCCATTGACTGCACCTAACAACAAGAACAAAGGCTGAAGTTTGGACTGCTTACCCACAGCTGGTGGAAAAGGCAGTGTGGTTGTCCCTGAAGCCACTGTGAGGCTCTGTGAGTGTTTGGACCTTGCACTTGCAAGTTTAACAGCAAATCTCATGGACTCTGCTCCCCCAACGCTGACATGCCCTCTACCCCCAGATCTGACCAGCAGAGAACCAAGGCATTTAGACTTTTCTTTTCAGACCCCTCTTCCCTTTATCAGAAGTGGATACTAATTAAGGTTCAGATGCTCGAAGTAACCTGACAAGGTCACACAGCCAGGAAGAAAACACATCGGCCGCTTTAAAATTTTTTATTTTTTTTTTTACATTTCTGGGTTAATAATAAATAATATGCTTACAAGAGTCATTTTTGATGAACAATAGCCCATTTTGTAACAACTGATGCCATTTACTTCTGTGTTTTGAGTTGTTTTTGTTTTTTTAAGTCAGTCTTATCTAATTTTACTTCTGTTCTTATCTCATAACGTGCCTTTGCTCTGGGTTTGTGAATTGACCCGCTTATTCTATGTTAAAATATATTTCTAACATCTTTTCTATACCACTAATTTTCACCTAAACGAAATGGCTTCAGGCATAAAGTTTGTACTTGATAAGTAGAAGAACCCATTTGAAGTACAACAAGTGATGTGACAGGCCTGCTTACTGAAAATGATTTTGTCTGAATAATAGAGTTCCTAATAAAAACTCCCTTTCATTGAGGGCTTGCTGCATTCTAGGCATGCTATGAATGAACACTTTACACGTCCTGTTGCAATTATACTTCACAAGAATGCTGTGCTAGGGAGTATTATTCCCATTTTACAGTAAGGAAGTTCTTAGGTCTTATCATGTCCTTTGTATCTTTAGTGGAACCCCTGACTTATGGGCATTTGACAAATGTCAAACTAAGATACCTCAATTGTAAAATAATTGTGATCCTACCTGCAGATTTGTTTAATTTCATCTTTCTAGCTCAGTCTGTCTCACTATTATCATTATAAAGTATCTTTCTAAGCAATTAAGTTTCTCAGAATATAGGGTCCTCTTAATTAAGGGTCCTCTATTCCAGTATTTCCGTGGTTAAGCGTTTGGCTGCTAACCAAAAGGTCGGCAGTTCAAATCCACCAGCTGCTCCTTGGAGACCCTATGGGGCAGTTCTACTCTGTCTAGTATTTGTCGCTGTGAGTCGGAATCAACTTGATGGCAACGGGTTTGGGTTTTGTTTATTCCAATATTTCCAAGGGTGAAATGAAGAAAAGATTCATACAGTAAGGGAAAAAGATTAGCTAACAACATTTAAGATATAGGACTTGGGTTCTAGCTTTGCTTCTGTATGACCCTGGCAAGTCACTTAACCTCTTGCTGTTTGTTTTCTTATCCCTAAAATGGATGGTGGTTTCATTTTTACTTCTGTGTAAAATAAGTTGGTGGTTATAATAACTATTGCTTCTCTACCTGTTGTGAAAATAGTTATATCAATGGAGGTGAAGGACTAGTGCTTTTTAGAAGAAATCAAGTATTACAGGGGCTTAAGAATTACAATGGCTAATAGTAGGTGTCCCGTTATTTTATCGTTTTTATAATTCCCTTTGACATAGCGTCTATATGATCAAGCAGATGATGGTCCTATGGGTAGTTGAGGGGCTTCAAGGACCATGAATGCAGATTAGAGCCTGATCAACCATAGTGGCAAAGGTTCAGTGGGAAATAGATCACCATAAGGAAAGTAGAGACAGTGCTGTCCAGGTCGTGCCCTGTCTCCATATAGGCTCCATAGGGTAGGGTGGTAAGATGGTAGTTCTTCTAAACTCAGTTTAAGGATGCGTCTCTTCCTTAAACTTTATTTCTTTTATCTGTCATAGCAGATGCCAGAATGTAGGGGAAAAAAAAAATGTTAGATACAAGATACACAGCCTATTTCAGGGTAGTTTGCTATTATTATTACTACTTTTTTTTTTTTTTTGAGGATTATAGTGATGCCTTTTGATATAAAGATGAACACAAGTGTTAGATCCCTGGGTGGTGCAGACGGGTTAAGTGCTCAACTGTTAGCCGAGAGGTGGTGGTTCGAACCTACCCAGAGGCACCTCGAAAGACAGGCCTGGTGATCTGCTTCTGAAAGGTCACAGCCTTGAAAACCCTGTGGAGCAGTTCTACTCTGCACACACGGGGTCAGCATGAGTTGGAGTTGACTCTACAGCAATTAACAACAACAGGCAGATATTGGAAGTTCCTGAGCAGTGCAGACGATTAAGTACTCGACTACTAACCATAAGGTTGGCAGTCTGAACCCACTCAGAAGTGCCTTGGAAAAAAGACCTGGTGATCTGCTTCCGAAAGGTCACAGCTTTGAAAACCCCACGGAGCAGTTCTACTCTACAACACATGGGGTCGCTATGAGTTGACTTGACAGCAACTGGTTAGGCAGATACTGAAAGTGTAAAAAGAGCTAAGTACTTCATATGATATGTGTATATGTATGTGTGTGTGAGAGAGAGAGAGTATGAGCAATAAAAGCTAAAGGCAGGGGTGGAGGCTGCTTTCTTTTTGTTCTTTGTGCTCTCTGGGTTTAGCACAGTGCCTTGAGTACCGAACCAAAAAACCAAACCCATTAACTGTCGAGTCGATTCCAACTCATCTGGACCCTATAGGACAGAGTAGAACTGTCCCATAGGGTTTCCAAGGAGTGGCTGGTGAATTCGAAGTAACCTTTTGGTTAGTAGCCTTAGCACTTAACCACTGTGCCACAGTCTAGATAATCATTTAAACACAACATTACGCAATACCAAACACTGGTTATTCATTCAACATGCATTTTTTAAACATCAGCTGTACTCAGGTTGATGCTATGCCTTGAATACAGTTGATATCTAAAAAATTCATGTTGAAAGAGTAACAACCAATGTTTGGTATTACCTAATGTTATGTTTAAATGATTATCTAGACTGTGACCTCTGAGGGCAAGGGCTTGTTTTTATGACCAGGTTCTGTAAATATTGTCAAATTAAATTGAAGATAATTGTAGAATTATAGAATAGAGTGTATTTTTATGAACAAGGAATTGGAAAGGACAAAATAGATGGGAAAGGAATAATGATATTTATCATTTACAGGAGCAGATACTTGCCACATTCTTGGTGCTTGGTGCTTGGTGCTTGTCTTGTCGCCAGCATAGTAACCCTGACTGGCATCCCAGTTTTCAGATGAGAAAACTGAAGCTCAAAAAGGTTGATGACTTTGCCCCAGGCCACGTAGCTGCTAGTAAGTGATAGAGCTGGGATTCAAACCTAGAGCTGCTGGATTCCAAAGCGCACACTCTTTCTATAACACCATGCTGAAGACAAAAAAAAGTGAGAGTGTGGGGAGATGTGTGTCCTTATTTCCAGGATGGAAAGGTCTGATCTGAGTAACCTTTCCTTTTTCTGTTTTATCGTTTCGCTTGTCTAAGAATTTCCCAGCTTGGGTAAAAACCCAAATAGAAGAACCATAGTCAGATTGCTCGGCAGGCGATGAAGTAGACTGTCTTTTCCCAGTCCTGTCTTCTGACACAAGTTTCTTACCCACAGTGACTGCCAAGCTGCTCTGTATGGTGCAGTTTGGTTTATGCCCTCTGCCTGCTTCTGTCCCTTTCTGCTCCAGGACTGCCTTCAACTGTTAGAAAATTCACTTTTTCCTTTGTGCTAGGCACTATATTAAATTGATTTTAAATAGAGTTTTTAAAAGACACAAATTTTTGATTAATGATATTAATAACTTTCTATTATTAATACCTTCAAAACGTTTTTAATTCTCCCCCTGTACATGGAATATGTTATAACCAGCTTGGGCACTGCTCTGAGTAGCCCTATGCTGAGCTCCAATACAATAAAGTCTGAATTCTTTCATTTCAAGCCCTAGTTTCTGCAACTCTTTCTGATGTTTAAGCTGCTCGTGGTTGGTGAATATGATTATTCCAGAAGGTAGCAAAGCTGTTTTAGGTGGTGGCAGAGTCTAATAATATTTGATGTGGTTAATTTCAAGAAATTATGATAACCCATGAATAAAATTATGGAGATATAGTTTGTCAAAATCCTTTCATTACATCTCTATTGGTATAGAATTTTCTTAAGTTATGTAATTTTATATACAAGTGTTCCTTGCCTTTCCTTAGAGCTTATTTTAATTCTGCATTTTCTTGTCATTTTAATATCAACAGCGATAGAACAGAAAGGCTAGCACAACCTTGTAATTTATAAAAGATTACATATACAACGCAGTGTTTTTAGTTTTTAATGTATTTTCCCCTTCGTTAAACTGAATAAACTACATAAAACCAACTGTTTCAACATGGATACATCTCAAAAATTAAATTCTAAGAGGAAGAAGCAACTAAGAATTAAATAAAGTATGATCCAATCAAAATAAAATTTGAAAACATGCAAAACAATAGCTCATATATTGTTAATGAATGAATACACGTGTAACCCATATCCACTGCCATTGAATCAATTCCAGCTCATAGCGACCTTATAGGACAGGGCAGAACCTGCCCCATAGTGTTTCCGAGGCAGTAATCCTTACAGAAGCAGATTGCCACATCTTTCTTCAGAGGAGCAGCTGGTGAGTTCCAACTGCCAACCTTTCGGTTAACAGTCAAGGCTTAATCACTATGCCAACAGGGGTCCTTGTGTACACATATAGTAATGGTATAACAACATACCTGTGAATAACAAGCACTGAATTAATGGTAATCACCTTTTAAAAGGATGGGACAGAAAGGGCTTTGGGGATGGGTGTAAACCAACCCATTGCTGTCGAGTCAATTCCTACTCATAGTGACCCTATAGGACAGAATAGAACTGCCCCATAGGGTTTCTAAGACTGCCATATTTACGGAAGCCGATTGCTATGTCTTTCTCCCATGGAGTGGCTGGTGGGTTCGAATTGCCAACCTTTTGGTTAATAGCCAAACACTTAACCACTGCACCACCAGGGCTCCTTGGGGATGGGTATTGAGGGCTTCGATTATATCTATGATGTTTTAGATTTTTTAAATATTAAGATTTGTTAAAGCTGGGTGGAATGTAAACATGTTTATTTTATTATTCTTTACATTTCTTTCCATATTTAAAATATTTAATAATCTTACAAAAGGAGGTCTTTTTATCTAATATTAATATAACTTATTAGCTCCTGAAATTTCTAAGATATTGCAGCTGAAGCTTACACTAAAGGATACTTAAGATATAGTATGTCTATCCAGATGTTTTTGTTTGCATGTTTGATTCCTTTGTTGAAGGCACTGAATCCCTACAGGACTAGTATGAAGTATTTTGCTTTGTAGCTGAAGGATTTGTAAGATGAAAGATCTTTAAACATGAAATGAGATCAGTAGAAGGCCCATGGTTTAAATTGTTGTTTGAAAAATTATTTGATCTCTCCCCTCCGGGGGAAAAAACATAGTGATAGTCTAGATACAATATGACAGTACATTGATTTTTTTTTGTATCTAGATCGCCATGGCAACTGGACAGAAGTTGATGAGAGCTGTTAGAGTTTTTGAGTTTGGTGGACCAGAAGTGCTGAAACTCCAGTCGGATGTTGCACGACCAATTCCAAAAAACCATCAGGTGGAAATAATTACACTGAGCGTGAATCTCTAGCTCATATATTGAGTTCAATAAATGTAGACTCAATGACTTTTAAAGACATTGAATTAGGACAAAGTTTACACCGTTTATGTGTATGAACTCTGACAGTTAGTACAATTCCAACAATTAGTAACAAGTATGAAAACCTCTGGTTATAAGAAAATTTTGGAAGTCGAGAATCATTGATGCAATGCAGTAATTGGATTTTTTTGAAGGGGTCATAAGTAGTTTTGAACAAGTTATTCTGTTACAGACTTATAGCATTTATGCCCAGTGGGGAAACAAATTTTCTTCTGTACACAAGCTTTTTCATATATGATTTAATAGAATGTAAGTGTAGACTTTAATTATGTGATGACTTTAACAATATACTTTTGATTCAAAATTATGTATTTTTTTATTACTGTGCCTTCCATGGTTCCCAAGTCTAATTTCCTTAGCAAGTATTATAAAAGTTTTTACAATTTGGCTGTCTTTGTAGATTTATTTGTTACCGCTGCCTCTCAGTAGAGGTGTTGTAACAACATCAAGCTTTATCTGGTTTCCCAAAGGAGCCTTTTCAGTCCTTCCGTCTTTCCACATACTATCCCTTTTACCTGCAGTGTCCTTTTCCTTCCATTCCTGGAGAATTTCTACTCATCCTTTGAGGCTTAGCTTAAATACCACTTCCTTTATGAGGCTTTTCCTCACTGTTATAGCAGAGGTAACTATTCTATATTGATTATGGTAAAATTAGCTACTACAGTAGATGGAGCCTCAAGGTCCCAGTGGTTCAACCATAGAATATTATTTCTCACTCACTGAATTAAAATGTTGTGAGTAGCTCTGCTCCAACGATGATTTAGGGCCCCAGGCTTCTGTCATATGTGGCTTCTGAGGTCCCCATGGAAGGGGAAGGTACAGTGCGGATTGCCTGGGGGGTTCTTACTGACTGGCCCTGAAAGTGGTTCTCATCACTTGTGTCCATTGGCTAGCACTTAGGCTTTGGTTACTCATAACTGTGAAAGAGGCCAGGAAATAATACTCTTCCTGTGTACTCAGGAAGAAGAGGAAATAGGTTTTGTTGCACATAGAGGTCTATGCTATACATCCCCTAAAGTATTTCACATACTATATTCCCAGAGTGTTTTTAATATAGTACAGAAGCCATTCTGTCTTATCTTTTTATTTACATGTTGATTTACAAAACTAGAATGTGAGCTTGTTGAAGGCAAGGTTTTTTGTTTGTTTGTATTTCATTTTTATAGATCCCGTAATCAGCACCGTCCTGGCACAATGTTGAACAAATGCTTAAATCCTCTGTGTGAACTAAAATACATTGTCATTGCAGGTTCTAATCAAAGTCCATGCATGTGGTGTAAACCCAGTGGAGACATATATTCGCTCTGGTACTTATAGTAGGCTGCCACCCTTGCCCTATACTCCTGGCTCAGATGTGGCTGGGGTAATAGAAGCTGTTGGAGATAATGTGTCTGCTTTCAAGGTATTACATTTTTAATTATTTCTACTTTAGCTTAAAATATTTTGACATAGCTTTAAAATATGTCTATATTTAAGGCTTTAAAAGACCCCCATTACACAATTTCTGCCACTTGGGGGACTCCTCTAGTCAAAAAAGAGATTACTTTTTATCCCGAGGCCTTATTTTTTCACATTGTTGGGGATAAATTCAGGGTAATTTCTGTATCTTCACATCCCCACAGACTTGAACTGTGATCCTTTTGATTTAATAGAAATTCACAAGAAAAGAAAACATACCAGGAAATTATGCTATTTCCTGACCCTACACATACCAACATAATTTTTAATTGTTTGTATAGATTTAGCTTCACAGAATAAAGGACAGCTTAATTCTTTTGTGGAAAAAGTAAAAGATGAGGAAATACAAGGTCACCATACATTTTTATAGCTTTGACTTAGATGAAGGTGATTGAGTCAATGAAGGTGTTAGGATCATGGCTTTTGTTATTTATATTCCAAAAGACGTATAAAACATAGATAGTATATCCATGTTTTAGCATCCTTCCTCATAATTCCTTGACCTGATCAACTTTGTCAGCACATTTACCAGAATTGGACTGAGACAGAGAAGATTAACGTGGCCTCTGCACAGGATGATGGGCAAATTCATGCAGCTTTCTACTTGTCGGCCTGTGGCAATCTGGCTTCTGCCCCTATCCTGCACTGAAATTATTCTTGCTAATGTTACTAATGGCCTTTATATTGCTGAAGTTAATAGGCTTTTTTATGTCATTATCTTTCTTGACTTCTCTGTGACATTTGACACCCTCAGGCACTTATTTTTCTTAAAAAAAACTTTTTCTTCAGCTTCTGTGACATTATTTTCTCCTGTTCTCCTCCCCACTTCCTCTTTGAGCATCCTCTTTCAGGCTTCTTTTTCTCTGGATGCTGCCTAACTATTAGTGTTGCCCCAGCTCTCCAGCTCTTTTGATCTCTGCTTTTTGTATTCTGTGCCCTCTTCATGGATGGTCCTGTACACTCCCATAGTTTCCATTTTCGCATGTGGTATCTTTAGCTTAGCATTTTCTACGAAGCTCTAGACCTGCACTGCCCTGTTCTGTAGCCACTAACCACATGTGGCAATTTAGAATTCAATGGATTTAAATTGAAATTAATAATTAAGTTCCTCAGTTATACTAGCAACATATCAAATGCTCACTAGCCATATGCATCTAGTGGCTACCATATTAGACAGTGAAGATGTAGAACATTTCCATCATCACAGGAAGTTCTGTTGGAGAGAGCTGAACCCACATGGTCAACCTCCAGGAACCTCTAACTCAAAACTGAGCTTATCTTTCTCCCTTCAGGTCTGCTCCTCCCTTGTATTGCCTAACTTAGAGAGTATCCGGGGTTCAAGACTTATCTCCTCACCCTCTCTCACTCAACTCTCACTTCTTACTGCAAGTTTTCTCTCACTTGCTTTGCATTTCCCCTACCTGTAGTTTGGTTCAGGTAAAATAACCTGAACTATACCTCTTATCTGAATTTCTATAGTAGATACTTTACTACCCTCCCTCCATCCTCCTCAAATCTATCCTTATTCTAGGAGTAATTTTTCTAAAATGTAATTCTGGTTGTGTTACACCTCCATTTTAATTCTTGCTTTAATTCCTTGTAGATTTCAGGGTATTGTTGAAAGTCCTTATTTTATGAAACAAGGCTTTTTCACGCTGTCTCTGCTGCCTATCTTTCTATTCTCATTTCCTACCCCCTCACCCTGTAGTTTATTCTTTAGTAATGAGCTGCTTGTCATTCCCCTGCATGTCCCATGGTCTTTCATCTCTGTGTCTTTGTTCATATTGGTTCCTCTGCTTGGCAGAATTAAATTGAAAGTCATAAACATGGGTTTAAGGGATTTCACACTCCAGCTTTGATCTCTTTCCAGTTTATCTCTTGAACATACCATACATTTGACTACTTACTGATTGGGAATGACTGCTGGTAATTACTCAGCATTTATTCCTGCCTCTGTTTCTTTGCTTACTGTATTAGTTTCTTAGGGCCGCTGTTACAAGTTACCTCAAATCATGTGGCTTAAAACAACAGAAATTTATTGTCTTAGGGTTCTAGAGACTAGAAGTTTGAATTCAGGGTATCAGCAGGGCCAAATCTCTCTGAAAGCTCAGGCAAGATCCTGTCTTATCTCTCCCAGCTTCTGGTGTTCTCAGGTGTTGCGTGGCTTGTCACAGCATCACTCAATCTCTGCCTCTGTCTTCACATGGCCATCTTCCCTCTGTGACTGTCTCTGTGTCTTTTCTCCTCTTTTTATAAGTACACCAGTCGTATTCGCTTGGGGCCTACTGTACTCCATCCAGTACAGCCTTCTGTTAACTAATGACATCTGCACATGTATTTGCATCCAAATAAAGTCACATTTATAGGTACTGGGGTTAGGACTTGAACATGTCTTTTTGGGGGACACGAATGAAACCATAATAATTTCTTTCTTTTACCTGTAACGACTCTTCCCAATTCTAGTTGAAAATCTTCTCCTATCCTTTAAGACCTACCTCAAATATTAGTTTCTCAATGGAGCTATTCTTGATTCTCTCAACTTAAAAATTGTTGTTGTTGTTAGGTGTCATCAAGTTGCTTTTGACTCATAGCGACCCTATGTACAACAGAACGAAACACTGCCCAGTCCTGTGCCATCTTCATGATCATTGTTATGCTGGAGCCCATTGTTGCAGCCGCTGTGTCAGTCCATCTCATTGAGGATCTCCCTCTTTTTTGCTGACCCTCTACTTCACCAAACATGATGTCCTTCTCCAAGGATGGATCCCCCCGATAACATGTCCAACGTATGTGAGACAAAGTGTTGCATCCTTGCTTCTAAGGAGCATTCTGACTGTACTTCTTGCCAGATAGATTTGTTCATTCTTCTGGCAGTCCATGGTATATTCAATATTCTTTGCCAACACCATAATTCAAAGGCATCAATTCTTCTTCAGTCATACTTATTCATTGTCCAGCTTTCGCGTGCATATGAGGCGACTGAAAATACTGTGGCTTGGGTCAGGCATACCTTCATCCTCAAAGTGACATCTTTGTTTTTTAACACTTTAAAGAGGTCTTTTGCAGCAGATTTCCCAATGCAGTGTGTCCTTTATTTCTTGACTGCTGCTTCCACAGGCATTGATTGTGGATCCAGGTAAAATGAAATCCTTAGCAACTTCACTCTTTTCTCCATTTATCATGATGTTGCTTATTGGCCCTGTTGTGAGGATTTTTGTTTTCTTTATGTTGTGGTGTATTCCATACTGAAGGCTGTATTCTTTGATCTTCATCAGTAAGTGCTTCAAGTCCTTTTCACTTTCAGCAATCAAGTTATGTCATCTGCATAACACAGGTTGTTAATGAGTCTTCCTCCATTCCTTATGCCCTGTTCTTCATATAGTCCACCTTCTCAGATTATTTGCTCAGCATACAGATTGAATAAGTATGGTGAAAGGATACAACCCTGATGCACACCTTTCCTGAATTTAAACCACACAGTTTCCCCTTGTTCTGTTTGAACGACTGCCTCTTGGACTATTTACAGGTTCCTCATGAGCACAGTTAAGTGTTCTGGAATTCCCATTCTTTGCAGTGTTACCCATATTTTGTTATGATCTGCACAGTCCAATACATTTGTATAGTCAACAGAACACAAGTAAACATCTTTCTGGAATTCTCTGCTTTCAGCCAAGATCCATCTGACATCAGCAGTGATATCCATCGTTCCACATACTTTCCTGAATCTGGCTTGAATTTCTGGCAGTTCCCAGCTGCAACCACTTTTGTATGATATTCAACAAAATTTTACTTCCCTGTGTTATTAATGAATGATACAGTTCGATAATTTTGCATTCAGATGGATCACCTTTTTCTGGAGTAGGCATAAATATGGACCTCTTCCAGTCAGTTAGCCAGGTAGCTGTCTTCCAAATTTCTTGGCATAGATGAGTGAGCACCTCCGGCACTGCATCCATTTGTGGAAACATCTCAATTGGTATTCTGTCAATTCCTGGAGCCTTGTTTTTCACCAATGTCTTCAGTTCAGCTTGGATTTCTTCCTTCGGTACCATCAGTTCTTGATCATACATTACCTCCTGACATGGTTGAATGTCAGCGAATTCTTTTTGGCCCAGTGATTTTGTGTATTCCTTCCATCTTCTTTTGATGCTTCTTGTATCATTCAGCATTTTGCCCACAGAATCCTTCACTGTTGCAACTCAAGCCTTGCATTTTTTCTTCAGTTGTTTCAGGTTGAGAAATGCTGACTGTGTTCTTCCATTTTGGTTTTCTAACTTCAGGTCTTTGCACGTGTCATTATAATGCTTTACTTTGTCTTCTCGAGTCACCCTTTGAAATCTTCTGTTCAACTCTTTTACTTCATCGTTTCTTCCTTTTGCTTTAGCTAATCGACATTCAAGAGCAAGTTTCAGAGTCTCTTCTGACATCCATTTTGAGCCTTTCTTTCCTGTGTTTTTAATTACCTCTTACTTTCTTCATGTATGATGTCCTTGATGTCATTCCACAACTCGTCTGGTCTTCGGTCATTTGTGTTCAGTGCGTCAAATCTATTCTTTTTGTGTGTGTGTGTCAAATCTATTCTTGAGATGGTTCTAAATTCAGGTGGGTTATACCCAAGGTAAAATGTACAACCAGAATGCTCCTTGAAAGCAAGGATGGTGAGACTATGTCTCACGTACTTTGGACATGTTATCAGGAGAGATCAGTCCCTGGAGAAGGATATCATGCTTTGTAAAGTAGAGGGCCAGCTAGAAAGAAGAAGACCTGCAATGAGGTGGATTGACACAGTGGCTACAACACTGGGCTTAATCATAGCAATGATTGTGAGGATGGCACAGGACTGGGCAGTGTTTTGTTCTTTTGTACAAGGGTTGCTATGAGTTAGAACTGACTTGACGACACCTAACAACAGCATACTCAAGGTCGTACTTTGGCTCTCATGGACTTATTCTAATTTTCTTTAGCTTCAGCTTGAGCTTGGGTATAAGCAGTTGATAGTCTGTTCTGCATTCAGCCCCTGGCGTTGTTCTGACTGATGATATTGAGCTTTTCCATTATCTTTTTCCACAGATGTAGTCAGTTTAATTCCTGTTGCATTCCATCTGACGAGGTCCACGTGTAAAGTTGCTGTTTATGTTGTTGAAAAGGTATTTGCAATGAAGAAGTCGCTGGTCTTTCAAAAATCTATCATGCGATCTCCAGCATTGTTTCTATCACCAAGGCCGTTTTCCAACTACCGATCTTTGTAGTTTACAGCTTTTACTTCCAACCCTTGTATTCCAGTCACCAGTAGTTATCTTGATTGATTGCATGTTCAGTCAGTATCAGACTGCAGAAGTTGGTAAAAATCTTCAATTTCTTCATCTTTGGCCTTAGTGGTTGGTGCATAAATTTGAATAGTGGTCGTATTAATTGGTCTTCCTTGTAGGCAGATGGATATTATCCTATCACTGACAGCATTGTACTTCAGGATAGATCCTGAAATGTTCTTTATGATGAGGAACACGATGCCATTCCTCTTCAATTTGTCATTCCCGGCATAGCAGACCATATGTTTGTCTATTCAGAATGGCCAATACTGGTCCATTTCACCTCACTAATACCTAGGATATCGATGTTTATGTGTTCCATTTCATTTTTGATGATCTCTAATTTTCCTAGATTCATACTTTGTACATTCCATGTTTCGATTATTAATGGATGTTTGCAGCTGTTTCTTCTCATTTTGACTCGTGCCACATAAGCAAATGAAGGTCCTGAAAGTTTGACTCCATCTACGTCATTAAAGTCGACTCTACTTTGAGGAGGCAGCGCTTCTCCTTTCGTCTTCTAAGTGCCTTTCAACCTGAGGGGCTCATCTTCCGGCACTATATCAGACAGTGTTCTGCTATTCATAAGGTTTTCACTGGCTGATGTTTATCAGGAATAGACTGCCAAGTCCTTCTTCCTAGTCTGTCTTAGTCTGGAAGCTCAGCTGAAATCTGTCCACCCTGGGTGACCCTTCTGGTATTTGAATACCGATTGCGTAGCTTCCAGCATCACAGCAACATGTAAGCCCCACAGTATGACAAACTGGCAGATGCATGAGGGTGACTTAAAAAAGTTATTTTTTATGCCTATTTTTGATGACTTATCATGTTTGTCTGGCTTTATAATTATTTCTATCCTTTTCTCCTCTCTTCTCTGAGTTTAGGATGCTTGAGATTCTTGTTGTTATTAGTAGGTGTTGAGTTACCGCTGACTCATGGTGACCTTATGTATAATAGAACGAAATGTTTTCATGATCATTGGTCTGTTTGAGTCCGTTGTTGTGGCTATTGTGTCAATCCGTCTCATTGAGGGTTCCCTCATTTTCTTTGACCCTCTACTTTACTAAATATGGTGTCCTTTTCTAGCGATTGGCGTCTCCTGATAACGTGTCCACAGTAAGTGAGCTGATGTCTCGCCATCCTCACTTCTAAGGAGTATTTTGGTTGTATTTCTTCTAAGACTGATTTGTTTGTTCTTCCGGCAGTCTGCGATTTGTTGAATATTCTTCGCCAATACCACAGTTCGAACACATTGGTTCTTGTTTCTTTTTTACTCTCCAACTTTCACATGCATGTGAGACAATTGAAAAGACTATGATATGATTTGGGTCAGGTGCACCTTAGTCATCAAAGTGACATCTTTGCTTTTTAAAACTTTAAAGAGGTCTTTTGCAACAAATTTGCCCGATACAGTATGTTGTTTAATTTCTTGACTGCTGTTTCCATAGACGTTGATTGTTGATTCAAGTAGAATGAAATCATTGACGACTTCAGTTTCTTCTCTCTTTTTCATGAGGTTGTTTATTGGTCCAGTTGTATTTTCATTTTCTGCACATTCAGGTGTAATCCATTCTGAAGGCTGTAGCCTTTGACTACATGTGAATTGATTTCAAAACAATTCGAACATTTACTAGGAATCCACTATATGGAAAGCATTACTTTGCATTCTGTAAGGAAAACCCTGTGCTAGAGATTAGGGACAGTGTATTGCTAGTAGTATTCCTTACAGAACTCAAAGCAATGCTTTCCATATAGTAGATGGTTAGTAAATGTTTGAATTCATTGAAATCAATTCAACATGTCTTTTAAGCTGCAAAAACAGGATTAATCTTAACATAGTTATACTTGACCATTTGCAGGCAACACTGTTAAGCTAGTGATGTTTGTCTTTGATTCCCAGATACCTTTCAGAATCTATTTTGGCCCCACTGTACTGATGCTGTTACTTTTTCAGATCTCTTTACTACAAGATAAAGTATACTGAGCAGTTATTGTCTTAATATTCTGCCTGTTTCAAGGAATATTTACATTTTTTTCAAGAAAGAGGAGCTAGGGGAGGTCTTTGTAGTGGGCAGGCTAATTTCCCCTAGTGTTGAAATCATATTAGGCCTTTTACGCCTGAATAGAGCCTTACCTCACCCTTAGTCACATGTCTGTTTTTCAGTAGCAAGGACTCAGCAGACGTATATTGAGAGTTTACTGTGTTTCTGGTGCCATGACAAGTGAAGAAGCCTGGCCTGCTGACAGGATCCTAGGCTTGTTTTTTACTTTTTGGTGCAGGCATGAAAAGTGGTAGACACTCAGAAGCGAAGAAATCCATGGAAAGGATTTAGAATAGGTGTTTGGTTTGTAGAAAAAACTGCATTTTATTTGTTTCTTCTCCCCAGTAGTTTTAACTATTAATAATGGTTTGTATTGACTAATAACTAGTTACCTTGAGTCGATTCCGACTTATAGCGGAGCCCTGGGGTGCAGTGGTTAAGAGCTCAGGCTGCTAACCAAAACGTCGGCAGTTCGAATCCACCAGCTGCTCCTTGGAAACCCTATGAGGCAGTTCTGCTTTGTCCTATATCGTCTCTATGAGTTGGAATCGACTCGACAGCAACGAGATTTTTTTTTTTTTTAACAGTGGGGATTAATCGACATTGGAGATAATAAAAGTACTCACCTTGCAGGTTGTTGTGAATATCAAATTAGATAATATGAACAAGACACTATATGTAGTACCTAGCACAGTAAGCTCTCAATAAAGGTTAGTTATCATCATCATCATCACGCTATTCTGAGGCTTCTCCTTCTTTTAGTTTTCCTATTTTCCTTAATCTTTCTTCTCATTGGTTCCCATTAATAAAATTAAAATTAAAAAAGTTTCAATACTTTAAAAGTTATTTTTATGAAACCCTAAGATGTAGCAAACAGTATATAGTCACTTATTTCTTGGTATAAAGGTTGCATTATAAAGGGCTGTACATGTTTTGAATTTACTTTTAATCCCGGATGCATTTATTAATTTCTGTCTTCCCCCAGAAAGGTGACAGAGTCTTCACTACCGGCACGGTCTCTGGGGGCTACGCAGAGTATGCCGTTGCAGCAGATCACATGGTTTACTCACTGCCAGAGAAACTGGATTTTAAACAAGGAGCTGCTATCGGTATCCCTTACTTTACTGCATATCGTGCTCTCTTCCACAGGTAATAACACACTCTGCCAACTATATTGCTAACACCAAAGAAAGGCAGTATTAATTACCTTCCTTCCTGCCATCTGTCCATCTGTCTGTCGTTCTGGTTTCCATTTAGTTACCATTAAGCATTTATGGAGTAGAAACTGCTAATTTGGGGGATTTTGCTAATCACTGGGATACAGTGAGGAGCAAAACACTATCTTCGTCTTCAAGATGCTCACAATCTAAGAAAGGAGATAGATGTAAGAGTAATGATAATTATATGTAATGTGGAGGGTGCAGTGGTAGAGATGTGTGTAGGGATTTATGGGATCACAAGATATGTGCCTATAGTGATTGGGTAGGGCTTCTTAGTAGTGTGTGAGGCTTGGATTGTTTTAAAGCAATGGTTCCAGAATCTTGTTATACATCGGAATCATGTGAGCAGCAGTTTAAAAGTGCAGTCCAGAGTCTGAAGCCTGCTAATCCGTTTCCAGAGCTGGGACCTGAGAATCTACATTTAATCAAATTCTGCAGCTGTTTGAAAAAGATCAGAGGAATTTAGCCTAGGAGGGGTAGTTGGGAGAGGAGAGGGTATTTCCGGTGATGGGAACAGCATGGTGTGTGGGGAGAAACAGTGCAGTGCACGGAGAGAGCTACAGCAGTCTGGCTTTGTTGAATAGGGGATTTCAAGACAAAGAGTGGCAAGGAATAAGGCTGGAACATAGTAATCTCAGTAAATGTTAGCCATTATCAAATAGGTAGGTTCCAGACTGTAAAAAGCTATATTAAAGATTTTACACATTGTTCTATAAGAGATTGGGGGCCATGAAATGTTTTATTAAGAAGAGTGGTACTGTCGTATTTGTGTTATTGAGATCACTTATCTGCTGTGTGAAGGATGGATTTGAGGACAGGAATGGAGATAGAGTTAGGAGGTTCTTGTAAAACCTCCTCTAGATAAAATATATACAGGCCAGAGCAAGGGGCATGGTAGAAGAGGTGAAAAAGAAAGGACAGCTATTTAGGGGGATAAAATCTGGAGTATTTGGTGATTTTGTGGAGAATGAGGGAGAGGAAGGGCTTAAGAATACTTCTAGCTCAGGTGGTGGTTAATTGAGACAAGGAAAAGGAGAAGGAGCAGGTTTCAAGGGAAGCTGAGTTCAGCTTTGGACTTGAGGCTCAGAGACAGGCATCTCAATGGAGAAGTCCAGCAGCCTGTTGGATATAGGAATCTGAAGCTTGAAGGCTGGAGATAGAAATGTGGGGATATCAGCATGTAGGTGATAGTTGGCAAAATAACAAGGAATAGAAAAACAGTGGCGTATGAAACCTTGTAAACACCAGCATTTAAGAGTATAGTCGGTGAAAGGTGATAACGCCTTGAGGAGAGCCAAAGGGAGTGGATCCCAAGACCAAGAGCATCCAAAGATCCTGGTGGAATAGTTACACTTGTGCTTAACTTCATGAAGACAGAAAGACTTGAATTAGAGTACTGTCTTCACCTCACGCTAGGTATGTGACCTTGGTCGAGTTACTTCTCTGTCTCAGCTGCAGTTTCCAGATTTGTGAAACATGGATAATAACAGCATCTACCTCATAGAGTGTGGTGAGAATTAAACGAGGTAGTGCACGTAAAGCTCTTAGTACAGCACCTGGCATAGAGTAAGGGCTCGATGTTCAATTAATGTTGGCATTGTTAGTGGTAACAGTATTGTTACTAAGGAGAGAGGCTAGCTATCAAATGCTGCAGTGAGGTCTGTTCAGAAGAAAATTTCAGTTGGGTTTAGCAATTAAGAGATCGTTGGTAACTTTAGTCAGATTATTTTCAGTAGAGTGGTGGGACAGAGGCTGGATGGAATGGGTTGAGGAAGGAAATGGAAATCAGTTCCTTGAATGAAGACTACTCCTTTTTTAAAAATGAGGCAGACAGTGAGAGAGTAGAAGATTATTTGAGGAGAGTATGGGGACAAAGAGGGTTTCTTTAAGGATGGATTTGAGCATGTTTGTAGCTGAATGGAAGGCTCTAATAGAGAGGGAGAGATTGCAGATTTGGAAGAGAGGGAAGAATACCAGATGGAGCAAGATCCTGCGTGAGGTAAGATGGAAAGGTCTTAGGGCGTTGGTAGAGAATTTGTCTTCAAAGAAAAAAAGACATGTCGTTTGTAAGCCTAAAAGAGGTAAAGATGGCATAATTATGGAAATTTTGTGGTTAGGGAAGTGGGGTGTTGAAGGAGCTCATATGTGATTGCCTCTCTTTTCCTAATTAAGGCAAAGTGATCTTTTGAGAAACAGAACTGAAGTGGCACCAAAATACATGGTCATGTGATTTTCTTCTACAGTACTCAGCTCTTTGGATAAAGTATCAAGGAAGGTAGAATTTAACATTAATCTAGGGGTAGAACTTCGGTGGCAAAATTGAACAGTTCAAAGGAAATGAGAGCACGAGAGAGAGAGAGAGAGAGAGAGAGAAGCTGGGGGAATCTACCATGGACAGGTAGGGAAGGAAGTGAGGCCAGGAGCGTTAACTGGGCAGAAATAGGGCATTTATGACATAGTGGTCTCTGTGAAGTTGAAGAAGAGGTTCTGAGAGAATGTGGGCGTATAGAATTAGGATGAGGATCACTGAGTAGTACTGCACATCAGTGTCTGATATGTCTCAGGTGGAAGGGTTGCGGTTGCTTACCAGATTAAGCCCTGGGAGAGTGGCTGAAGTGGAGAGCAATTCAGGAATTGTGGTGCTAGGTTTTCTTCCGGTGGATGTTGAAATCTCCTAAATTGGGACAGGATTTGGGGTGGAGGAAAAGCCTATGGGGCATATAGTAGAGTCTTGGGTGACCAGGAGGCCAGGAGAGGACAGTGACATGGAAGGGTCTGTGCTGGAGCTTCTGTTGTGGCTCCCATGGAGGATGACTTTACATTTCTCACAGGATAGGAGGAGCACAGCAGTGGGAGCCAGGAGGTTAGCCTGCTTTCTCCCCACGCAGCCAGGCCCCAGGACTTAGGAGAATGTGTTCTTAGTGTTGTTTATAAGATTTTTTTTTTTTAATTCATTGGGAAGTATTGCATACCCCATAGTATAACATTAGTGATCCTACATTTGTATTTTACTTTTTAAGTGTCAAAGTGTGTTGGTAATGGTTGTCTCACTTTATCATTTCAAACCTTGAGCTTAACTCACTGCCCTCAAACCCCTTATCTCCAAGCAGGAGGGTTAGAGAAAGCGTCATTTGTTATTCCTTATTGCCCTTTATTAGCTGTTGGCACAGAACCTTGAGCAGAACCCGGGGTTACTGTGTTTTCACTCGCAGATTGAACAGAATCTCTCTACAGTATGCCCACCTCCTGTTGTTCCAAGGAGTGAGACATCCTCCCTGAGAGTCTGATCTGCATCACACAACAGCTGCTGGCCTGTGACATTAGCACTCCGTCCATCTGGAATAGTAAAGCACTCCCAAGCTGTCTTGCTGCATGTTCCTTGTTTTCAGAACATAGTAGAAAAATAGTGGTATGAACCAAAAGTAAAAAGAATGAAATGTCATTTCACCAGAGGACCTGGGAACTTTAGAGGGTGACATGGGAACCTTTGTGACAGTATTTGTTGCATTTATTACTCTCTTCCCATGGCTGAGTCAGCATTGCTTTCTGGAATGAGGGCATAGAGGCTGGCACGATCCATTGTTCAAAGGCTTGGAGAAGTAAAAATGTTACCTTACCCCTGGCAAAAAAGAGTCCGGCTACTGTGTTCACTTGGACATTAATCTGGACCACAGAATAAAGGATGGGCTATAGTAAACCTGCTTTGACACTTTCTGTGGGAACATGTGGGAATGAGAGACCCCAACCCCTCTAGGTCCCACAGTGTTAACTTCACATGCCTGCAAGGACTGCAGCCTCTCAGAAGGTAGCACCATGGATGAGATCCCAGCATCTGGCACAGGGCCTGGCATATAGTAAAACCAAAGAATCAGTTGCAGCAGAGTCGATTCTGACTCATGGTGATTCCATGTTTTGCAGAGTAAGACTGCACTCCATAGGGTTTTCATGGCTGTGACATTTTGGAAGCAGATTGCCAGGCCTTTCTTCCAAGGCACCTCTGGTCAGGTTCAAACTGCCAACTTTTTGGTTAGTGGTTAAGAACAAACTGTTTGTGCCACCCAGGAATTCCTTGGCACATAGTAGATTCCTAGTAAACATTTGCTGAATGAATGAGTGAATAAAAGAAAGGAAGGAAGAGAGGGAGGAAGGACGACAGGAAAGAAAGAAGGAAAGGTGAGAAGAAAGAACGAAAGGAAGAAAGATTTTCTTTAATCTGTGGCTCTGAAGGACCATTGTTTGATCCTGTGGAACTTGGAGAAGAATTTTGGGCTGTATGTCAGGATAACTTTTCTCTTTGGGTGTTAGCTGATCTGAGGGTAGAGTTTCCTTAAGGATAATGAAAAGCAACTGAGCTTAATTAGCTTCCAAAAATAAGGTAATAGAACGCATGCTTTTTTCTCCCCCCACCAGTGCTCGTGCGAAAGCTGGGGAAACTGTTCTGGTTCATGGGGCTAGCGGAGGAGTAAGTATTTTTTTTTTTTTTTTAAGTTTATCTTTCAAGAGCTTTGTGAGTTTCACATTCTATTTCTTTTACTCATTTTTAAAAGCCACATTTATAAATATAGACAGGGGTGCCATTTTCCTTTATCTTGTGAAGCTTCTTCTGAAGGTGATTCTTTGTCATTAGTTTAGCATTTCTTGGTTAATAAATTCAAACAACTACCCCATCAAAAATATGGTATTAGCTTTTCCACCTGTGTTGGGTGTGGACCAAGGAAATCTGGCCTTGTGCTTACTTTCAAGTAGTATATATTATAAGAATATTTATTTAAAATTTTCAATAGTTCTTTTAGGGTAAATACTAATTCCATAATCCCCTAGATAAGGAAACGAAGGCTCATTAAAGCTTTACCTACGTTGCCCCAGACAGTACCACAGAGCCACACTGTGAATTCTTAGTCCTTTCTATCTCCCTTCCACTGCTTGCCTGCTGCGCTTTGATGACATTCATGGAGTGCATGGTCTATAGCTGTGTCCTTAACACCACAACCTATGGCTTAAAATGCTAATGCTGGATGGGAGGGTAGGGAGAGGAGACTCAGGACTTATAAAATAAGCCCTTCAGTGAAATCACCCAACGCAGGCTGTCAAACCTCTTCCAGAAACTGGCTGTCAACCTGCCTCTGAGGAGCTTAGAGGAAAAGTTAGAGCTCGAGGTTGGAATTTAACAAGAAATCCACATGACCTGTATCCTGCATGTAGAGGCTTTAGATATTTTGGAGACAGGATTTCACATTTTTAAAATAAAGGGCCTGAGGGTAGATAGCTCACCTTGAGGAAGCTGGTCAACCCTTTCAGAGCACTGTGTACTCTGGGGGGTAAGTTGAAAGAAGTACCCTGTGAAAATGTACATTGCCCCCTGAAAAATGGGTGAAAAGTTGAAAGGTGGGCAGGTAATCCAAACAATTCAGTCCACTGTGTTTCTCTGTTACTTTAGATAAATGAATCATGAGGTTTGACACCCAGCTCCCTATGTACCTCAAATAGATCAATTTTGAAGGATTTTAATAGATTAGACTATTTACTAAAGAAACACCAAAATTGTCTTTATAGAGACTGAGAAAATATGACCGATATACCTTGTCAAATCTCCCATTGTTTAGCTTTACTGAAGAGGCTATTTCTGGGTTAAATTAAGCTTAACCTTAAATAACTAAAGCATCTGTCAAACAAATGCATGTATTTAAATTGCTCTGGCTTTCAGAGAGCTAAACTTGTGCTCTGTATAGAAATGAAAATGAGAGATTTCAGTAGGAAGGGGAGAGAAGAGTTTAAAGAAAATCTCTTTTTATTCCCTTTACTGTCTTGTAAAAAGCCCAGTTGCTTCACCATGATTTTCATTTTTTTTTTTTTTTTTAAAGGCAAAATCCACACTGTTCTCTGAGCTGGCTGAGAGTTTGTTAAATCCTTGGCTGGCAGGGATAGGCCGACAACCTGGTGTGTGAAGCGCTTCTGATCCTCCCTGCCCTATCAGAGGGGAACAGTGTACTGGGTTGTGTCTTGCTTCTCTTTGTACTTTCTGCCCTCATTTAATTAAAATTCTCTTGGGATTATGTTGTATGTTTAAAATAGTGTGGAATTTCTGAACGCAGCTATTATCCAGTTATGTACTGGTGGGGAGTGCCCTATTTTAGTGTTAACAAAATAAGTAGAAAGAAAATAGTGGACACATGATGGTACATAATCCATCATTGGAAGAGTATTGCTAGTATCACTGTTGAGAATAGAATAAACAGCACCTTTAAAATAACGATTGAGTACCCTTTAAAGTAGCTAGAGCATAAGGAGATGTTATATTTACATTAAATTTTTAGTTTAAAATTTCATTAGAGGCCTAGTTTTTTAAAATTGAAAATTAAAGTAGCCAAAATCAATTGTGTTGACCCCATAATGTATTGTGTTTCGTCAAACTGAGTGTTCTCCGCGCCCCACCCCCCTCCATGAGACAGTGAGTTCCATGTGCTTGATTGTTTGATTTCGGTTTAATCAAATAAATCCCTGCCATGACTGGAGTCCGGGCTCATCACTCGCATATGCTACATAATCTTTAAGGTCCATTCCAAGCCCGAGAGTCCCTGATTCTGTTACAATTTTAATTAATTTCTATCATCAGTTTTCTTTGTAATTCTTTCCTATTTTGCTCCATCCATAATGATTTTACCTTCCTCTGAATCAGTGGTTATCAGTGGGGGGTGATTTTGTCTCCACCACCACCACCTGAGGACATTTGGAGACATATTTGGTTGCCACAGCTGGGGATGCGGGTGCTACTGTCATCTAGTAGGTAGAGGCCAAGCTAAACATCAATGCACAGATAGCCTCCCACAACAAAGAACAATCTGGTCAAAATGTTAATAAAACCAAGGTTGAGAAACCCTGCTCTAAATGTATATGACACCTGTACCATTCCTTTGGCATTTAATCAAACGTATATCTTAGTATTGTTATTTAATTAAATTACTCATTTATCTATATTTCTAAAATACTGTTGTACCTTTTCTGTACCAAGCGCATTTGTCTGATACCATAGTGATGCCATCCAATGCTGTGGCTTTAAATACCATCTATAAACTGGTGAATTTTAAATTTCTCTCTCCAACTCTGAACTGTTTCAAGTCCCTACCCATATTTAACTGATTGCTGAGACTTTTCACTCAGATGAGAAATATGTAGCTCAGCATGTTCAAAGTGAGAGTTCTTGATCCTTACACAAACTCAGTCCTCCCTAGTCTTCCCCATCTCAGTTAATCTACCCAGTTAATCTGGCCAAAGGCCTAGATGACATCCTGGATTTTTCTTTTTCCCTCACTGCCAACATACAATCCATGGGGAAGTCCTAGCAGTTTACATCTAAACTACATTTAAATTTATCTTTATCTTTCTAGTCTACCACCTTAGTCCAACCCAACCTTATCTCTTATGTACACTATATTATACTAATTTATCTCCCTGTTCCTGTTTCCCCCTGCCCCTTCATTTCGCCTCACATATAGCTGGAGTCATGTTTTCAAAGCCTAAATCAGGTCATATCTCTTCCCTGCTAAAGCTCTCCAATAATTCTCCATAGCTTTTAAGTAGAATCCATATCCTTTACCTTCACCTTCAAGGTCCTGTGTGACTGGGTCTCTCTGGGCCTCCCTGACCGCATCTCCTTCCACTCCCTTCCCCATTGACTTTCTTTCTGTCCTTTGATCACCCCAAGCTCATTCCCACCTCTCCAGGTTATCCATGGCCATTCACTCTGCCTGCAGCATGCTTCATGTGCTTGTTCCCTCACTTCATTCAGGTCTGATTTCTTCAGAGTGGCCCTTCCTGTTGCCCTAAATACCCCCTCCCCCACCTCTTTCTAACCCAATAGCCTGTTTGATTGTCTTCATAACACTTAAAATTTTATGAATTTATTTTATTCATGTATTTTTAATGTGTTTATTACTGTCCCCCCTCATTAGAATGTGTTTTGTGCGTAGTACACAATAAATGTTGATCCTATGAATGAATAAATTCATTTGTCCATGTATCTGTCTCTTCCAAATGGTAGAGGCCTTGTATCTATTATATTTTAAATGTACAGTTAAACTATGAAGTCAGTGACCATGTTTTGATTATCTTTAAACCATATACCTTCTTCACAAAGCAGATACTTAGTACATGCTTAAAAACTCCAGCTCTACAGTTTGATTTGATCCAGCTCCTGTTTCCATCTCTATATGTGACTTGGACAAGTTACTTATATTTCTAAGCTCAGTTTCCTCATCCATAGAATGAGGACAATAGTAGCATCTACTTCATAGGGTTATTGTGAAGGATATATATAAAGTATCTAATGTGGTACTGTGCACATTTTAAGCGTTAAGTAAAAGTTAGTGTTTCCTGGTTCCTTGGCCTCTCAGCCCTTCTGCCCTCTTGGGCTGGCCTGACGTCTGCCCTGCTCGGGCAAGTTACAAAGCCCTTTAGCTCTACCAGTAAGTACCCAGAGGCACCCCACTCTGCCAGTAAGCCTCGGCTCGAAGACGCTCAGCTCTTTCGCTGCATGGGTCAGTAAGCCAGCTCTGCCGACTAGTGCCTGGAGGCAACCCACTCCACCAGGAAGCTTCTTGCACAGAAGCACTTAGCTCCTTTGCTCCTGCGCCGTCTCGCGTGCTGTTCTCCCAGTTCTGCTGCTGCCGTTTCACTCCTGCTGCTTCTTGCTGTCTGTGCCGTCTCCAGTGTTTCAGCTCTCCTCACTTCCTCCTGAGCCTTCACCAGAATTGTCTTTGACATCCATACTCCCACCAACAGTCTCTTCAAGGCAATCTAGGCTTTTACTATTAGCCGCTTTAAAACTCTTCCAGCCTCTACCCATTACTCAATTCTAAAACTGCTTCTACATTGTAGGTATCTGTTAGAGCAGCACCCTACTCCAGTACCAAAACTCTGTCTTAGTTATTTAGTGCTGCTGTGACAGATATACCACAAGTGGATGGCTTTAACAGACAGAAATTTATTCTGTCACAGTCTAGGAGGCTAGAAGTCCAAATTCAGGGTGCCAGCTCCAGGGAAAGGATTTGTCTCTCTGTCAACTCTGGAGGAACATCCTTCTCATCAGTCTTCCCCTGGGTCTAGGAGTTTCTCGGTGCAGGAGCCTTGGGTCCAAAGGATGTGCTCAGCTCCCAGCTCTTCTTTCTTGGTGATAGGAGGCCCTTCTCTCTGCTCACTTCTCTCTTTTATACCTGAAAAGAGATTGACTCAAGATACAATCTAATCCTGTAGATTGAGTTCTGCCTCATTAAAATCATAAACCAAAACCAAACCCATTGCCGTCGAGTTGATTCCAACTCATAGCAACCTTATAGGACAGAGTAGAACTCCCCACAGGGTTTCCAAGGAGAGCTGGTGGATTCGAGCTGCCAACCTTTTGGTTAGCAGTCAAGCTCTTAAACTACTGCACCACCACCATAGAGGTTAGAATTTATAACACATAGGATAATGACATCAGATCACAAAATGGAGTTCAACCACACAATACTGGGAGTCATCACCTAGCCAAGTTGACACACATTTTTGACAGACACAGTTCAATGCATGACAGTTAGCTATTGTTTTTGTTAGTTCTTCATTTAGACTGTAAGTTCCTTAAGGATAGGGTATGACCTAGAAGAATCTTAAGTTCATTGTATATATTTAATAAATATTTGGAGGAATGCAACAAATCAAAAACTATTTGGTTATTTTTTTGTTTTACAGGTTGGAATAGCAACATGCCAAATTGCTAGAGCTTATGGCCTAAGGGTTTTGGGTACAGCAGGTACCGAGAAAGGTCAAAACATTGTTTTGCAAAATGGAGCCCATGAAGTATTTAATCACAAAGACGTTAATTATATTGATGAAATTAAGGTAAAATTTTCTACAATTTTGTAAGTCAAACTTTTTTTTTCTCAGAGTCTTACTTTTTTTTTAAGTTCTTCTTTTACCAACTACTCTCTTAAAGTCATTTGCTTTTTTTTGTTATGCCTACATGTGCATTTAAAAGTTGTTTAATTAATTTAAAAAGCAGAGATGTTTAATTTTTAGACCTTCACTGTCGTTTCTGTTTTGTCTGTGTGTAGCAAATGAAATATAGCCTCTGTAGATTTTTTATAGCTATTAAAATCAGTACTCTTTAATGCAAATCACATTTTAAGTAAAGCCATAGCTATGTATTTGCAGCTGGGAGGTATTAATATAATTTAGTGTGACATACCCATGGAAGATGAGGGATCTTACCACAGATTACAAACTGGATCTGTCTAGGCCTTAGTGAATAAAGTGTGTTAACGGTGTTAACGGGATGCTTTGGAGGAATAATTATAACCTCATCCAAAGCCATGAGGTAGCATTTACCGTGTTTTTACCCAAATAACATGTGTGCAAATAACGTGCGCAATGTATGTTTTTTTGCCAACCCCTCACCCCCAGGTATTTTCATAAGTGCACTATGCAAATTCTTCTTCACGTGTTGCTGTATAAAAAAATTAGCATAGTGCACTTGTGAAAATGTCTCGGGGGAGGGGTCAGGTTGTCAAAAAATGTAAGACGTGCACATTGTTTGTGTAAAAACACGGTAATTAATTGTTTCACATATCCCTAGCTATAACTGAATTTAAGCAGTCACTAGAGTTCCCCATCTGTACTAGAGTAGTGATTTACTAAACACAGATTACCTTGGTAATCCTCAAACTACTTGCTCACGTTGAAATCAATTAGAATTTTTCAGGTACCAGTTACTATGTAAACTAGGTCATTATGAACTGAGGAAAACTATGAATGAGGGTTTTTTTTTTACCACTAAATCCTCTTGCCAAAAAACTGAGCAAAGACTCTCATTTGTTATGTGTCTAAGAAAACTTGATCCTAAACTTACTCCTGATACCATTATCCAAGAGTATACATAAGTATGAAAAATGGCCAGTTATTTTAAGAATATGTCTTTTATGTTACAATAATCTATTTTTTAAGACCATAAAGTCTTATAGCTTACAGCTTTCATCTCTTCCACTGCCAACAAACATGCTTAAGTCTTTCCCATTCTCAAAAATATTCTCATAACCTTTTACCTCACCCCTCTCTCTCCTCCCTTTTAATAAAACTTCTTGAAAAAGTAGTGACTGCTTATTGCTTTTCATTCCTTACCTCCCACCTCCTCCCACTGCAACTTGCTTTTATCCGACTTCTTAAATTGCTTAAGAAGAGCACTGATAAGCTCCTGATTACCAGTTCACTAGCCTTGTCTCAGTCCTCATTCTGTTTGATTTCTCAGCAGCATATGACACTGCCCACATCTCTGTGGAACAGATTCTTTTCTTACCTCCCTGACTGTTCATTTTCAGTCTCCTTCTTCTCATATTACTTAAATGTTGGTGTTCATCCTGATCAATCCCAGATATTCTCATGGCTTCTGTTATTACCCAGATACTGTTGATTTCTAAAACTGTATCTAGCCTGAGTTCCATTCCTTCGTAACAGCCTACTAGACATCCCCACTCATCTAGTCATCTACCCATCTGGTCACCCAAGATAGAAACCTGCAATTTCATTCTTCTTATCATAATTTTCCCTTCCACACATCAAGTTGATGACCTTATTCTTTCAGTTTCATCTATGAGATGCCTTTCAAATCTCTCTCTTCTTTATTCCCTTCACCATTGTGACCTAGTCTAGGCCTCATCTTCTCCAGCCTTGACTATTACCATAGTTCCTAATTGAGCTAATATCTGCCTCAGTCTTCTCTGCCTTCTCCAAAGTTATTTGGTTCCCCTTTTAAAAAAGTCTCCAGAAATAACTAAAATGGAAGCTCCATGTGGATAGGAATTTTTGTTTCTCTTGTTTCCTGCTGTATGTTCAGCGTCTAGAACAGTGCCTAACACATGAATTAACGAACACTTGCCAAAAAAAAAAAAAAAAAATCGAACTCTTCGACATTACATTCAATGTATTTTTCACAATATGCACCAATTTATAGTCCGCCTCCACCCCCTCCCCCCCCTTGCTCAAATACATACTCCAGCTGTCCTGGGCTACTTCGTAATTCTGACTGGTGCTCTCAGCCCCTCACACCTTTGCTTTTCTATTTCTTCTGCCCAGACTGCCTGTCCCTTCCCCTTGGTTGTCTTCCTTTCTTTTTGCCTAGGGAACTCCTATTCATCCCTCAAGGGCCAGGCCATCATGTCTGTGAAACTTTCTCAACCACTGCAGGCAATCGGATTAACTTTTTCTTTATAGCCTATAGTTTATTTCTTCTAAGGTAGCACTTAGTCTGTTACATTATAGCTAGGAATAGTTTATTGTCCATCTTACTTCCTAGCTATGTTTTTATGTTTTAAGCTTCCTATGTCCGTCTTTGAATTTCTAGTACCTAACACAATGCCTGGCACAGGTATTCATTTTTTCATTAAAGTAACATTAATAGCCCTTTATCACCACTCTTATTCAACATTGTGCTGGAGGTCCTAGCCAGAGCAGTTAGGCTAGAAGAAGAAATAAAGGGTATCCAGATTGGTAGGGAAGAAGTCAAAGATCTCTATTTGCAGATGATATAATCTTGTACACAGAAAACCCCAGAGAATCCACAGGAAAACTACTGGAGCTAATAGAAATTTCAGCAAAGTTTCAGGATACAAGGTAAACATACAGAAATCAGTTGGAGTCCTTTACACCAACAAAGAGAACCTCAAAGAGGAAGTCACCAAATCAATACCATTTACAATGGCCCCCAAGAAGATAAAATACTTAGGAATAAATCTAACCAGAGATGTAAAAGATCTATACAATGAAAACTACAAGACACTACTGTAAGAAACCAAAAGACACCTGCATAAGTGGAAGAATATACCTTGCTCATGGATAGGTAGACTCGACATTGTGAAAATGTCAATTCTACCCAAAGTGATCTACAGCTACAATGCAATCCTGATCCAGATTCCACCAGGATTTTTTAATGAGATGGAGAAACAAACACCAACTTCATATGGAAAGGTAAGAGGCCCGGAATAAGAAAAGCATTACTCAAGAAGAAGAGCAAGGTGGGAGGCCTTATACTATCTGATTTTAGAACCTGTTATGCCGCCATGGTAGTCAAAACCTGGTACTGGTACAACAGATACATAGACCAATGGAACAGAATTGAGAATCCAGACATAAATTCATCCACCTATGAGCAGCTGTTATTTGACAAAGGCCCAAAGTCCATTAACTGGGGAAAAGACAGTTTCTTTAACAAATGGTGCCGGCATAACTGGATATCCATCTGCAAAAAACTGAAACAAGACCCATACCTCACAAAAACTAACTCAAAATGGATCAAAGACTTAAATATAAACTTGAAAACAATAAAGATCATGGAAGAAAAACTACGGACAATGCTAGGAGCTCTAATACATGGCATAAACACAATACGAACCATAAGTAACAATGCACAAGCACCAAAAGAGAGACTAGATAACTGGGAGAGCCTAAAAATCAAACACTGATGCTCATCAAAAGACTTCACCAAAAAAGTCAAAAGACAACCTACAGACTGGGAAAAAATTTTTGGCTATGACAAATCTGATCAGCGTCTAATCTCTAAAATCTACAAGATACTGCAAAACCTAACAACAAAAAGACAGATAACCAAGTTAAAAAATAGGCAAAGGATATGAATAGGCATTTCACTTAAAAAGATATTCAGGTGGCTAACAGACACATGAAGAAATGCTCACGATCATTAGCCATTAGAGAAATGCAGATCAAAACTACAATGAGATATCATCTCACCCCAACAAGGCT